TGGTTCAGAGGGATGGCATATAAACCTAGAGGAAATACAGTGGTTCAGAATGATGGTATATGAACCTGGAGGGAAAGCAGTGGTTCAGAATGATGGCATATGAACCTAAAGGAAATACAGTGGTTCAGAATGATGGCATATGAACCTAGAGGAAATAGAGTGGTTCAGAATGATGGTATATGAACCTGGAGGAAAGCAGTGGTTCAGAATGATGGCATATGAACCTGGAGGGAAAGCAGTGGTTCAGAATGATGGCATACAGTAGAAGGGCTGGTTACTCAAAAGAGAAATATTCTGTCACGACGAACCAGTAGAGCACCAAAACGTTTCTGACTGTACAAGAGGAATATCGACATATTTGTCAAAGGGAAGACTGCATACAAGATTTGTCTGTACAGGCATGTAATCCTGTCATGAATATGAAGATCATACAAATTAAACCATTCCCGTGGATCAATTGATCGATAAACCATTACGACACTGTAAGTCCAGATAATAGCCAATGGAACATTAGTAACTTAGTGTATGCTGGTATGAGTTGAGTCTATTTTCATCGAGGTTTGGTTTGGTTTAGTATTGTTTAACGTCCTATCAACAGCTATGGTCATTTAAGGACGGGTGCTTAAATCAACACCAAACTCCGAAGCACAGTTCAATACATCATAGCCACACGCTTTGCATACTAGAAAAGGATTGTCAACGGGGGTAGATGACCTTGATCACGATTTGGTTTGTTTGTGTTTAACGTCCTATTAACAGCCTTGGTCATTTAGGGCGTGCCAGGTTTTGGTGGTGGAGGAAAGCCGGAGTTTCCGGAGAAGACCCACCGACCTACGGCCAGTACCTGGCGACTGACTGCCCCACGTAAGTTTCGAACCCGCGACCCAGTGGTAGAAAGCTAGTAGTGCCACAATGTAAGACGCCTTAACCACTTGGCCACCGCGGACCCTTAGAAATATCGCTTGAAGCAACACCAAACTCCGATGCACAGTTTAATACACCACAGCCGCACGCCTTGCATACTAGAATAGGATTGTCAACGGGGGTAGATGACCTTGATCACGAAGGCTGAAATCATAGAAATGAGGGGCGAAAGCAATGTCATAAATCGACAATAATGTACCATTAAAGCCAGATTAAATGACTTGATAATAACTTCATCAATAAGATTCCAGATGAAGGATCTCAAAAGTGATCGGTGAACTCAAAACATAGACTGGGAAGTGGTTTCGACAACACAACAAATTCGAAGACCCAATTTCATTTAAAATTTAAGAAGAGACGGATTTGTCGGCAGCACAGTACACGTTGATGAGACCTGATAGCATCAATACACTCTCTCAAACCGTAGAAACGTCACAAGTCGTTAAGTTGGCCCAGGTGAGAGAGGGTTGACAGTAGCAGGAAATCACAGACGTCACGGGCTGTAATCTGTTTAATCATAGCCGACTTCCCGTCAAACTAGTGATGGTCTGGCTGATAACATCAATCTAGTTATTGTATTCAATTAATTTTTTAAAGTTAGATATAAAAATAGAAATCGTATTGTAGTAAGATAAAAGGTATGTGTCAAATTTTATTTCATTCCTTTGGATTTATATTTAGCATTTACTAATATTGTCTACTAAAAAATCCACCGGAGCAGCATTTTTCTCTGTGTTTAAAATTATCATTTGAGGCAAGTTCCTGTATTATATATGAGAATTTTGTGGACAATCTTCACTATATATGCATACAAAGTTATTCTGGAGTGACCTTCAACAACATATATTTCCACTTCAAGTTCCACTATAAACATTGCCAGAAGAAATTGCGTTCATAGAGCTATGAATGACATTTGATCAGCGTCATTTTGAAGCTTCCCTTGCGTCTCCAATACGATAAAAGCAAACATTTTGTTGTCTATGAATCTCGTTTGCACTAACAACGATACATACACTTCATATCGAAAAGATAAGGAAATGTCTCTGCGTAGATTAATAATTATACAACCAGAGTGTTTTACTGAACTGCATTATTCAGTTCAATCCTTATATATAATGCTTACATACAATGTTTCTTGTGACGAAGTGTGACTCTGGGACGACCTTCATGTACATAAAGTGACTGTTGATGTAACCCTCTATTAACATGACTCTGGGACGACCTTCATGTACATAAAGTGACTGTTGATGTAACCCTCTATTAACATGTGTTGTCTACGTAAAACTTTACTCCGTGTCTGCAGACGTACAAAGTTACTAACATGTGTTGTCTACGTAAAACTTTACTCCGGACTGCAGACATACAAAGTTACTAACATGTGACTTCCATCACTGGGATGACCTCTGTAAGCTAATGAGTCTGGTCGGTGGTGATCATGATGCCTTGTTTTAGTGTGTTATTGTCTCCTGGTGTTGCCTTTTCATATAAACTTGCAGTCCTTGCAAAGCCACACTTTTGTGTACTTGTCATTCTGCCTGATGCACAGTGACCTCTATCAACAGGACAACTTGACTAGGATCTGAAGGTGTCTCCTGTAACAAATCAAGGTGTATTCTGTAGTCATTTAATATACTTTGTGTCATGTCAGTCAGACGTCCAGGTGGAGAAAAGCATTCTTTACACATGTACACCAACACTTTGCACAATTAAAAACTCTGGAATGTAACTTTATTTGTAAGGGAGATGTACCTTCACACTATCAATATATTAGACACACTTTCACGAGCTGTCTATAGTGTTCAGTTTTCCTGTTCAAGGCCAATGCTTTCCACCTGGTCTCCATACCTGGGAAGGATATTGGTTCTGTTGTCATGGTGAGTAGGCAGTCAGGTGTGAACATTCCAGGTATGTTAATGTGTCAGACTCAGGAGGTCTGTTCTCTCACTAAATTAGATGTATACATATGCAGCTGCATAACTTCTGTCAGGGTTTTAGGTCTGACCTAGTTTAAAAGTTTCACTATTTATTTGAGATTTCCTGTGAGAACCACTCTCCTCAATTTGACCTTGTTCTGAGAGAGTCCCATATGAAGGCACACAAATCAAATATGCTTACAACATCAAGGTTTAGATGTTTGCTTGGGACCAATACACATTTAAACGACAAGCATTTTATACAATTTATGAATTTATCTCCAGACTCCATCATTGAATGTAAGATGTTCATACTTTGAAATTTTATATTGGGGCTTTTGGTTCTCAGAAGTCTAGATTCACTTCATGCTCCAGTAATAGTGCCATTTTTGTTTTATTGTTTAAATCAAGTGATATTGATTACATTATAGTGATGATTATAAAATTATCTAATAGAAAAAATAATTGATTACTTTTTAAATACCAGTGCTAGAATTTAGAATTCTACTGTAATTTAAAGGTTCAATTACTGGCTTTATATATATACAAAAAGGTTTGTTTTCTTTAATCAGGGAGACAATATTGCCAGTCTGTATAGCAGAAACCAATTTTATACATAGACATGCATCCAACCTTAGGGATATAGAATATTGGTCTTTGGCACCGGGAAATGACTAGAAGGTCTTTGGCACCGGGAAATGTCTAGAAGGTCTTTGGCACCTGGAAATGACTAGAAGGTCTTTGGCACTGGGAAATGACTAGAAGGTCTTTGGCACCTGGATATGTCTAGAAGGTCTTTGGCACCTGGAAATGACTAGAAGGTCTTTGGCACTGGGAAATGACTAGAAGGTCTTTGGCACCTGGAAATGACTAGAAGGTCTTTGGCACCTGGATATGTCTAGAAGGTCTTTGGCACCTGGAAATGACTAGAAGGTCTTTGGCACTGGGAAATGACTAGAAGGTCTTTGGCACTGGGAAATGACTAGAAGGTCTTTGGCACCTGGAAATGACAAGAAGGTCTTTGGCACCGGGAAATGTCTAGAAGGGCTTTGGCACCTGGAAATGTCTAGAAGGTCTTTGGAACCTGGAAATGTCTAGAAGGTCTTCGGCACCGGGAAATGACTAGAAGGTCTTTGGCACCGGGAAATGTCTAGAAGGTCTTTGGCACCGGGAAATGTCTAGAAGGGTCCCCATTTTATATATAAACTGTTTTTTTGGTTATTTGTACAATAAATGTAGATGTTACCAGCCAGTTTCTATCTCATTTACATTCATACCAAGGTGATTTACATAAGTGATATTCCTTTCAGTATGGCCCCTGTTTCTAGATTTAAAGCATTTCTACTGTAAGAAAATTCTTTAACTTTAGGTGATATTCAACAATTCATTTTTATAGAAACTCCAATGGCGCTTTTCGATAGAAAAACTTGCTTCTGAACTGCAATAGTGCTTTCCTGTAGAAAATCTCACTTATGTTCATAAAACTTTTGGCCGTGGCTGTAAACAACAAACCTTGTTGTCTATTATATGCTTCTTGCCTTATGTATAGCAGGGTCAAATTTGAATTTAATTCTACAAGTACCAATTAACCTCCTTTGAGAGACCTATAGGCTTACCAGACCTAGGCTTACGTTACTACAATTTTACTTACATACAGATACTTGCAGTGTAGTGCTATGGACTATTGTTAAAGACGGTACAATACTGTATATTCAATGTGAAACTGTATATTAAGTTAGTTTGGCTTCATTTATTTCATGGACTTAAGGTCACAGAATGTAAAACACTATAATTTTCTTCCCGATCAGGAACATATCTATACAGAGAGCATTTTGTTATATTGACTCCATGCAGTGTCATTTGTATATCACACAAATGACACTGCATGGAGTCAAAATAACAAAATGTTATATATACTGTGAACGAAATATGATAGTGACATTTGTATAAAAAATAATGCTAAACACTGCCATCTTAGAATCACCAATTAACAGAGCAGGAGTGCTACTTGTGTATCATTCCACAATAACATAGTAACGCCATCATACATGTATTTCCTTTAGTCTCTGGACTTCCCATGTATTTCCGTACAGACTTGGAGCCTAATTCCTCTCTAGTCTGTCACAGAGAACCACGGACATAAAATACAAGTTAAGAGTTGTGTATAGAGCAATGGATGTTTTATTAAGAATAGTAGGACATCTCTACATCTAGTTGTAACACGCTCCAATGTGAGGTCGCCCCACACCATATACCTGGCATTTCATAAAAAAATAATCCGTTACACACACATATATATATTATATATATACATGAGGCTAGTCAACATCCAATGAAACAATTATATCTATCTGTTCACATATAATCATCTTTTATCATACAAAAATGTGATGAATAATAATAATTTTAATAAATGTAAATTTGAAATTTGAACAAAGAAAATTTCAACAAATGTGATATTAAATGAACTACAACAAGGTTCATAAAAACCCAAGTGAATTAAAGTAATAATAATAATATAATAATAAATGGCAAAATGCAGTATCCATTTAATGACCAGATGAAGCTGCTGGATGTTAATGGGACAAAGCTCAATACAATGTGCTACCTCTTCAAGCCTTCAATGGATACAGCTCCAAAATTATATAATACACCAACAATGGAACTATTATAATAAAATGCTAGCTTTTACCCCTCCCAGCCTGACCCTCATAAATCTCCCTGTCTGACCCTCAACCCCCTCCCAGCCTGACCCTCATAAATCTCCCTGTCTGACCCTCAACCCCTCCCAGTCTCCGCCAATGGAATGGATATATAAGTAAGAAAATGGGGGAGATTGGATCAGTTCAAAAATGTACTTGTGACCATTATAGGAATTTAGTCCTTCACAACAAGCGTACACAACAATAAGAGCTAGTCGTCCATTTTATCAAAGATTTTTAAAACTGAAGGATGACAAAGATTTGAATGAATAAAAAAAAATGTAGTTCCCTGACTACTGGCCCCAAATGATGAATCTGAATATCCATGAATACAGAAAATGTACAGGAATTGGCAGTCTCGGCTTTGGAAAAATTGATATTTTTCACAGAAAGTTTAACGATGATTTTCATTCCTGATGAATTGTTTGTGACAGGAGCTACTCCAAGCTTCTAACAAGAAGCAGTACATTCACTATACGGAAGCAAGATGTTTTTCTGCCCCGGTCAAAAATACTTTATTTTGATATTTTCCTATGTAATTTCACATTTATTTCAATAAAAATATATCTTTTTCATTCATTGTACACAAGTAGCATTCATATTGATATTCATGATCAGCAATCAACATTATGCAAATCACATCTATACTTAACCATTTACCATATGGTTAATGAGCACATAATTAGTCTAACTACATATCACTGACTCTCACGCCATACAATAGCTAACATTTTGTTACACAGTGACCTAGTTAATTATAAAGCTTGTACACAATACTTGTGCTTGTTAAACAATTAAGATGACCTTCAAAACTACTGTATGACCTTGACTACTGACCTTATGAATGAGCACAAATTTATAAACATAAATGCAGTTATTAGTTGCCTTGACTAAAAGCAATTCTCTCTGCTGATATACGAAACAATGCCAATCATATATCACATGCTGCAGAGGGTCAAAGTTCAAAGTTCACACTGTAGTTACCATGGAGACAGGTTGGGTACAAAAGGTCAATAGAGGTCAAATCAGTCAGTCATTCAGCATAGTGATAACTATATATATATATCTATATATGATATACATAGATATATATAGATATATGTACTTCATGTAATAATATTTATAATATATACTTTATTTTTCCCTGAAAGTTAAATGAGATCTAAGGCAATCAAACCTGCGAAGATGTATTCCTTTGTTCTGGTTTCCCATTACATAACATATCCCCACAAGTTTGGCAACCATGTCTGTGCCTACTCCCGGCACACTGTAGTAACACTGGTAGAACGTGGGGAAGGGACTAAAACTCTATCACTAGGGCAGCTGTATCCTGACACAACTACCCAGTATAGAAGGAACCTTGTCACTACATTCCGTATTCCACTTCCTACATCCACGTACCACACAGCAGGAGTTTGTATCATCAATAACAAGGACTGATATAAGATAAAAGAAAGACGACACATTTCCAACATCACAACATAGCAACGGTATCCCGGTTGGCACTGTTCAGAATGTGTAATAATTCCTCCTCACTGTAAACTGTAGAATCACATAATGGATAGAGAGAAAAGTAAGTAAAAGCTTGGAGAGTCTACACTAAGAAGTATCAGCTATATTGCTTGGTTCTCTGTGTGCCAGGACAGATATGTACTTCCATGAAGGCCACACCCTCCCCTCAAAAGGGATGGCCTCCACACGTCCTTTGAGCCAGGCCTCATACAACACATGGCCTCACAATTCTGCACAGTTCCTCACTATGTCCGGTGCAAAGCTTTGTACACTCCATGGCAACACATCCTCATTTAGCCTGGCACAATGCCTCATAGAATCCATGGCCCTACACATCTTCATAGAGCTTAGCGCAAGGCCTGATACCATGCATGGCCTCGTACAACTTCACAGAGCTCAGCACAAGTCCTCAAACAATCCATGTCCCTACATATCCTTAAAGTGCTTAGCCAAAGGCTGGATATCATGCATGGTCTAACACACCCTAACAGGGCCTTGCAGGTTCCAGGAACTCTCCTCACAGGGTTCGAGGTCACTAAGGCCAAGGTTGTGTGTGTATGTAGGGCTCTGATCAGTAATTTTTGTATTCTATGGTCAGTTTCCTCTAACCGGTTTACAGTGTTTTAGTTTCCTCTAACCGGTTTACAGTGTTTTATAAATCACCTAGCTGGTCATTTATTTCCTCTAGCACTCTTACGGTCACTCATGTCTTTGGCAGTGACTTAAATGTTGTGGTCACTTAAATCCAGGCTAAACACTCCATGAAATGAAAGCAATCTGACCATGTTGCTTTCCAGGAGTTTTCCTAAAGTCTTCATTGAATGATCTAGGGTTTCGCTCATATGGCAAAATTCTGCTCGTTCTATGGTACAAGCTGTTTGAAGTTAGACCTATTTTTATGTAATATTCCACAGTTTTCTCCATCCATGTTATCTCACTGAAGGTTTTGATATGTTGATAGTTTGTAGATAAGTACAAGGTCTACATGCTGATATGGTGCCACCGTCATTTACTCGTCATCTCGGCTCGCCTCATTCAGGACAGCAATGGCATCCTTAACAGCGTGATACACAATGTTCTTCACCTACAAAAAGGACAAGCAAATATTGAGAAAGTGTTGGTTTGTGTACATTCTAAATTTCATTCTGAAAATTTAACAAATTTTTCCATTAAACTTAAGTTACAGGAATTCCTTATATATTCTTCAGGATGAAAAAGGAAATAAGAGTTGAGTAAAAAGTTGATATATATATATATGTACCTGGAGTTTGTCCTCGTGGTTGGCATGCGTGTCGGACAGGAGACGGAACTCCTGTGTCAGGGAGAAGCAGTGGTTGAGGTGTTCAGGCGACACAAAGTCCTCCGCCACCTTTATACAGCTGTGAAGGTTGCGAACCTGGTGAGGAGCTCCTGCAGGTATAAAGATGGCATCTCCTGCACATTGGACGATAGTGTAGCCCAACACACCATACTCCTTGTAGAGTCGGTCACGCAAGTCCTCGTCTAGGTACCAGCTCTGGTCGTGGATAGGGTCATGGTGCTGCTCTATCACCTCACCACGTTCCTTAGCAACCTACAACAGGCACAGACACACCGTTTTGAAAGGAAATAAACAAAATTAGAAAATGATACTTCCTGTTAGCATACAGAACTACATTTGAAGGAAATATTTACTGAAATATATAATTGTGTCAGGTGTTAATTATCAATTTTTGTCTTTGAAATACCTTCAGTTCTTTAAGGGTTGGGAATGGTAATTATGTTAATTTCCATATTTTTTTCATTAATCTAATCCAATAAATAGATGCATTTTTTAACAAAGAAATACCGCATAAATGACAGTTTTTATCTTTGGAGGAATATTTTTCATCAAAAGATGTTTTAAATAATTTGAATTGTTAATGAAAACAAGACACTTGATTTATATATTTATCCGCTTTTTACCTGAGAATTCAGTCACATTTTGCATTATTTTCTTTGACCAAAATCCTGGAGGTTTAAATAAAAAAATAACACCTGAATTTATGCTAAGTAAAAGTGTAATGTGTTGACTTTGCTCCCCTACAGAGTTGTATTATCAGCAGTGTACAAGGTAGAGACATTGGCGGCGTGTCACAACACCAGATTGATGTGGCCTGTGTAAACAGTGTCATGTACAGGTACTCAAACTAGGACAGGTGCCTCGACTTGACAAAGCGTCAGTCTACAGGTATGTAAGGACAGGTGCTGGTTTATCTGTACACCCAGATCCTCCCTGACTTTAAGGATAGCCTTGTAGGAAACTGTCCTATCTATGCGCTACAGTATCTGGTTTTACAGTCTCAAGATAACAAAGGGTCATTCTCCTAAATATGCTTTTACTTTTTATCATACAACAAAAGCCTTTGGTCTGATACAAGTAAGCACTACTAATGAAAGGTTAAAAATCATTATAAGGAAAACTGTTTTCAGAGAACGTTGCCAAACATCTGATGAAAAGTTAAGTAAGATTTTCCAGTCAGCTGGGAAAGACCTAATTAGCGGCGGCGTGGCTATGTGACCCCTAATGCTGATGACATCTGGAGGGTAACATTAACAGACACCTCCCATACTTGTTTGGTGCCAGTCACAACAGCTGGAGGACCCAGCACCTGTTACACTCAGTCATAACATACTTCCACTTCCTGCTTCACCAGCATCAATTGCACTGCTGCTTTCATGTATAACTTGATAGGATGCATCCAACACGTTTATTTTTAGAAAGTATCCCCACACTTTACTTTTCAAATTCTACAGTACATATTAATGCAGCTGTTAAAAGCTGTTTGTAAACAGAACTATTTTCATATGTGTCCAATTCAGACTATACTGTTTTAGGAAAGGTTGAGTGAAGATCCTAAGAAGATTGTCACTTTTCCATACAACCTTCCAATGTTACGACCCTCCTCGCTAGAATGCACTGAGCTGTCTGCTTGCTCTAGTGGTATGAATATAAACTCAAACTTTCTGTTGGCAATATCTCAAAATTTCTATGGGCTTACCTTGTTGAGGAAGTCCCTCATTTTGTCAGCATCTCTTGCATCCCAGATCTGCCACATAGCACCAGGCACTTCTTGTACTTCACGCACACGTCGTTTGGTGATCATGTCACAGCCAGCCTCGTCAATGGCTTGGAGGGCAGCATTTTCATAAAAGGAACGTCCTCCCGTATCATCTTCAGGGATTCCAACATACACCATAACATTGACAGCGTCAGATACGTCCAAGTGCAAGTTTGTGGTGCCTTCTTCAGGGTGAAGAGCAGATCCTGTAATGTAATAAATACATATGGTCAACACTCGACAACTCTAACACAAAATCTATACTAAAATCAACAGAGGAGTGAGAATGTTTTTTAACATATTTCAAAGAAGCTGTTAATTTCTGAAACGAGTTGTAGCTTGGCCCTATGATGTGACGTACCATAAGCATTGTACATCTTGGGCCCCAGGTCAGGCCTGACAAGGAAGTCAGGCAGTCTGGAAGCAAGGTTGAGGCGTCCCTGTCGGTGGGTGTACTCTGGCAAGGGCAGGGCCTGCATCAGGTCTTCAAAGTGCTGTGGCATGAGGTCACTGAAATCGTCACCTGGTGGCCAGTCCTTTAGCTTCAGCAGTATTGGGTCCCCTTCATCATCGACCAGACGCTCTGTACATTATAGTAAAACATAATTAATTATAACTGCATAACTAACATAGGCTATAAATAGTCTTGAACTTATAAAAGCTGGAGTCATTAATAAATCTACACAATTAATAGATAGCATTGTACAATCCCAACACTATTAAACAAACGCAGAGAAGCAACTACTGAATCAAGGTTTCTCTAACTACAGGATATAATCCAAGCATTAAGTTGTGTCATAATAATTGATAGGAAAGAGTCTTAAACTTACCGGAGATTCTGTCGAATCCCTCCCAGAAAGTGGCCATTGGATGACCGACAATGAGGCAGCCATTCCGGGTGTTGACGAGATCGTTCTTGTGTTTACCAAATTCCTTGCTGAACGTTTTTGGGCTCCATAGGACTTTGTTCAAGCAGTTATCAACACCTGATACCAGGACTGGCTGTAAAGTTAAGACATTTGTTATAGTCAACAATAACACAACCCATACCAGGATCTACATTTCTCATTCTACGGCTATATTACAAGGAATGTCATGTTTATTTCAGTAAAGACTTGACCTTGGACACGTTAAGTAGGCCCTAAAAGGAATGATCTAAGCTACAAGATGAAATGTTGTGCTGTTTATCACTTTAATTCGTTAAAATAGTCTGCAAATATTGATAAATTGGGTAAACGACTATTAATATTGAAATAGCATCCTGTCACTCACAAATTCAAAGTATACGTGATTTAAACTTACAGGCTTAGTTTGTGAAATAAAGTGATTTACCGTATCATTGATTATATTTGGAATATATCTAGATAACTATCATGTATGCAAAGATAATACTGAGTAATTACAATCAGATAACCAGATAAACAAAAATTCTATATATGTATGTCCATATCAATGGTTTTATAGAGTCGATCAAGGCAGGCTAGGTAGGTCAACAGTTACGAGTAACGTTCAGAATTTCAGATATAACAACTTAGGAGTATCATCCAGATTTGGTTGTGAATAAACAACTTTGGTACACATGTATACAGAAAGGCATTAGCTGAACTCTACAGCTGATTCCTATCACAAATAAAGCTCAATTCTGTACAAACAAAGGCTCTCCAAATACTCTCGGATCATAACACTAGTCTAACTTGAAAACATGCCAATTCAAGAATATATTTCTGGCGGATGTTTGGAACCAATTGATTGAGCTATGTTTACATTCTGTGCAACCTTTAACCTATATTTATTTGTACTGTGGTGGGATACAAAACGATTTTATGAACCACAGAATACTATCCAGGTGACAATGATCTACCTTACAAAAGACCTTTTATGTGAAAACAAATATTGAAATATGTGCCCATTGATCGGTGTGTGTAATAGCATTATAAATAGGTTATTGATCTATGGCAGGTGTAGGGTCTACAAGTCTGATCAGCCCCACACAACAAACCTTTATCACAACTCAATGTCGCTTTATACATCGGAAACAGTGGTTTGGTGGCGTGTTTAACATTTTTCAATAGGAAATTTTCCATAACCAGTGTCAGAAACAAGCTCATACATCAATACATTTCTGATGCTGAACCATACAGATATCTACAGCCAATCAACATATTGTGATTACCTACACCTAACATAGATATCTACAGCCAATCAACATATTGTGATTACCTATACCTAACAGATATCTACAGCCAATCAACATATTGTGATTACCTATACCTAACATAGATATCTACAGCCAATCAACATATTGTGATTACCTACACCTAACATAGATATCTACAGCCATTCAACATATTGTGATTACCTACACCTAACATAGATATCTACAGCCAATCAACATATTGTGATTACCTACACCTAACATAGATATCTACAGCCAATCAACATATTGTGATTACCTACACCTAACATAGATATCTACAGCCAATCAACATATTGTGATTACCTACACCTAACATAGATATCTACAGCCAATCAACATATTGTGATTACCTACACCTAACATAGATATCTACAGCCAATCAACATATTGTGATTACCTACACCTAACATAGATATCTACAGCCAATCAACATATTGTGATTACCTACACCTAACATAGATATCTACAGCCAATCAACATATTGTGATTACCTACACCTAACATAGATATCTACAGCCAATCAACATATTGTGATTACCTACACCTAACATAGATATCTACAGCCAATCAACATATTGTGATTACCTACACCTAACATAGATATCTACAGCCAATCAACATATTGTGATTACCTACACCTAACATAGATATCTACAGCCAATCAACATATTGTGATTACCTACACCTAACATAGATATCTACAGCCAATCAACATATTGTGATTACCTACACCTAACATAGATATCTACAGCCAATCAACATATTGTGATTACCTACACCTAACATAGATATCTACAGCCAATCAACATATTGTGATTACCTACACCTAACATAGATATCTACAGCCAATCAACATATTGTGATTACCTACACCTAACATAGATATCTACAGCCAATCAACATATTGTGATTACCTACACCTAACATAGATATCTACAGCCAATCAACATATTGTGATTACCTACACCTAACATAGATATCTACAGCCAATCAACATATTGTGATTACCTACACCTAACATAGATATCTACAGCCAATCAACATATTGTGATTACCTACACCTAACATAGATATCTACAGCCAATCAACATATTGTGATTACCTACACCTAACATAGATATCTACAGCCAATCAACATATTGTGATTACCTACACCTAACATAGATATCTACAGCCAATCAACATATTGTGATTACCTACACCTAACATAGATATCTACAGCCAATCAACATATTGTGATTACCTACACCTAACATAGATATCTACAGCCAATCAACATATTGTGATTACCTACACCTAACATAGATATCTACAGCCAATCAACATATTGTGATTACCTATACCTAACATAGATATCTACAGCCAATCAACATATTGTGATTACCTATACCTAACATAGATATCTACAGCCATCAACATATTGTGATTACCTATACCTAACATAGATATCTACAGCCATCAACATATTGTGATTACCGATACCTAACATAGATGTCTACAGCCATCAACATATTGTGATTACCGATACCTAACAATCACAACACATACCAGAAACATACACTAAATACTATGTATCACATGCTGTTCGATACTTAACCTACCCTGGAAAGATCACATTCACAGCAATTATTATGCCCAATAAGTTTCACATATATATTCTGATAGCATGTACTTAATAGCCCTGACTGTCATAACAATATACATTACTGGCCATTTATCAGGTCTGGCTATAGTACCAGCGATGGCCTTCAGCTGAAGGTACTATACACTGATCTAACCAATCCTTGTTTTGCAATACTGCCAAGTGTATTATTGTTATAGGGTATAACTGACCTAATTCATAGGGCTGTATGGAGTTTGTCCACAATACTGCCAAGTGTATTATTGTTAGGGTTGTACAATACAGGTAGCTCACTGTTATAACTGACCTAATTCATAGGTCCAGGTCCGTTTGGAGATTGTCCACAGTACAGCCAACGTTGATAGGACTCTTTACAATACTGATAATCACACAACTATAATACGTGTGAAGTAGTTTGTAAAGCTATAATAAACCATGCCACTAAATCCATTCGTAAGACTTATGTTCCGTTATCTCACTAACATAATTTATAGAGCAATAACATACTACAACAGTAAAATACATGGAGCTTTGTTCCCTACAATACATGGAGCTTTGTTCCCTACAATACATGGCGCTTTGTTCCCTACAATACATGGCGCTTTGTTCCCTACAATACATGGCGCTTTGTTCCCTACAATACATTGAGCTTTGTTCCCTACAAAACATGGAGCTTTGTTCCCTACCATACATGGAGCTTTGTTCCCTACCATACATGGAGCTTTGTTCCCTAGAATACATGGAGCTTTGTTCCCCACAATACATGGAGCTCTGTTCCCCTACAATAAATGGAGCTTTGTTCCCTACAACAGTAAAATACATGGAGCTTTGTTCCCTACCATACATGGAGCTTTGTTCCCTAGAATACATGGAGCTTTGTTCCCTAGAATACATGGAGCTTTGTTCCCCACAATACATGGAGCTCTGTTCCCTCCAATACATGGAGCTCTGTTCCCTACAATAGATGGAGAGCTTTGTTCCCTACAATACATGGAGTTTTGTTCCCTACAATACATGGAGTTTTGTTCCCTACAATACATGGAGTTTTGTTCCCTACAATACATGGATCTTTGTTCCCTACAATACATGAAGAGCTCTGTTCCCCTACAATCCATGGAGAGCTTTGTTCCCCTATAATACATGGAGCTTTGTTCCCTCCAATACATGGAGCTTTGTTCCCTAGAATACATGGAGCTTTGTTCCCCACAATACATGGAGCTCTGTTCCCTCCAATACATGGAGCTCTGTTCCCCTACAATAAATGGAGCTTTGTTCCCTTCAATACATGGAGCTTTGTTCCTTACAATACATGGAGCTTTGTTGCCTACAATACATGGAGCTCTGTTCCCTCCAATACATGGAGCTTTGTTCCTTACAATACATGGAGCTTTGTTGCCTACAATACATGGAGCTCTGTTCCCTCCAATACATGGAGAGCTTTGTTCCCTCCAATACATGGAGCTCTGTTCCCTACAATACATGGAGTTTTGTTCCCTACAATACATGGCGCTTTGTTCCCTACAATACATCGAGCTCTGTTCCCTACAATACATGGAGTTTTGTTCCCTACAATACATGGATCTTTGTTCCCTACAATACATGGAGTTTTGTTCCCTACAATACATGGATCTTTGTTCCCTACAATACATGAAGAGCTCTGTTCCCCTACAATCCATGGAGAGCTTTGTTCCCCTATAATACATGGAGAGCTTTGTTCCCCTATAACACATGGAGAGCTTTGTTCCCCTATAACACATGGAGAGCTTTGTTCCCCTATAATACATGGAGCTTTGTTCCCCACAATACATGGAGCTCTGTTCCCTACAATAGATGGAGCTTTGTTCCCTACAACAGTAAAATACATGGAGCTTTGTTCCCTACAATACATGGAGCTCTGTTCCCTACAATACATGGAGAGCTTTGTTCCCTACAATACATGGAGAGCTCTGTTCCCCTACAATACATGGAGAGCTTTGTTCCCCTACAATACATGGAGAGCTTTGTTCCCCTATAATACATGGAGAGCTTTGTTCCCCTATAATACATGGAGCTTTGTTCCCTACAATACATGGAGCTTTGTTCCCTACAATACATGGAGCTTTGTTCCCTACAATACATGGAGCTTTGTTCCCTACAATACATGGAGCTTTGTTCCCTACAATACATGGAGCTTTGTTCCCTACAATACATGGAGCTTTGTTCCCTACAATACATGGAGCTTTGTTCCCTACAATACATGGAGCTTTGTTCCCTACAATACATGGAGCTTTGTTCCCTACAATACATGGAGCTTTGTTCCCTACAATACATGGAGCTTTGTTCCCTACAATACATGGAGCTTTGTTCCCTACAATACATGGAGCTTTGTTCCCTACAATACATGGAGCTTTGTTCCCTACAATACATGGAGCTTTGTTCCCTACAATACATGGAGCTTTGTTCCCTACAATACATGGAGCTTTGTTCCCTACAATACATGGAGCTTTGTTCCCTACAATACATGGAGCTTTGTTCCCTACAATACATGGAGCTTTGTTCCCTACAATACATGGAGCTTTGTTCCCTACAATACATGGAGCTTTGTTCCCTACAATACATGGAGCTTTGTTCCCTACAATACATGGAGCTTTGTTCCCTACAATACATGGAGCTTTGTTCCCTACAATACATGGAGCTTTGTTCCCTACAATACATGGAGCTTTGTTCCCTACAATACATGGAGCTTTGTTCCCTACAATACATGGAGCTTTGTTCCCTACAATACATGGAGCTTTGTTCCCTACAATACATGGAGCTTTGTTCCCTACAATACATGGAGCTTTGTTCCCTACAATACATGGAGCTTTGTTCCCTACAATACATGGAGCTTTGTTCCCTACAATACATGGAGCTTTGTTCCCTACAATACATGGAGCTTTGTTCCCTACAATACATGGAGCTTTGTTCCCTACAATACATGGAGCTTTGTTCCCTACAATACATGGAGCTTTGTTCCCTACAATACATGGAGCTTTGTTCCCTACAATACATGGAGCTTTGTTCCCTACAATACATGGAGCTTTGTTCCCTACAATACATGGAGCTTTGTTCCCTACAATACATGGAGCTTTGTTCCCTACAATACATGGAGCTTTGTTCCCTACAATACATGGAGCTTTGTTCCCTACAATACATGGAGCTTTGTTCCCTACAATACATGGAGCTTTGTTCCCTACAATACATGGAGCTTTGTTCCCTACAATACATGGAGCTTTGTTCCCTACAATACATGGAGCTTTGTTCCCTACAATACATGGAGCTTTGTTCCCTACAATACATGGAGCTTTGTTCCCTACAATACATGGAGCTTTGTTCCCTACAATACATGGAGCTTTGTTCCCTACAATACATGGAGCTTTGTTCCCTACAATACATGGAGCTTTGTTCCCTACAATACATGGAGCTTTGTTCCCTACAATACATGGAGCTTTGTTCCCTACAATACATGGAGCTTTGTTCCCTACAATACATGGAGCTTTGTTCCCTACAATACATGGAGCTTTGTTCCCTACAATACATGGAGCTTTGTTCCCTACAATACATGGAGCTTTGTTCCCTACAATACATGGAGCTTTGTTCCCTACAATACATGGAGCTTTGTTCCCTACAATACATGGAGCTTTGTTCCCTACAATACATGGAGCTTTGTTCCCTACAATACATGGAGCTTTGTTCCCTACAATACATGGAGCTTTGTTCCCTACAATACATGGAGCTTTGTTCCCTACAATACATGGAGCTTTGTTCCCTACAATACATGGAGCTTTGTTCCCTACAATACATGGAGCTTTGTTCCCTACAATACATGGAGCTTTGTTCCCTACAATACATGGAGCTTTGTTCCCTACAATACATGGAGCTTTGTTCCCTACAATACATGGAGCTTTGTTCCCTACAATACATGGAGCTTTGTTCCCTACAATACATGGAGCTTTGTTCCCTACAATACATGGAGCTTTGTTCCCTACAATACATGGAGCTTTGTTCCCGTATCTCACTGATGTTATTTACACCACTATATCTTGGATCCACACTTGCACTGACAAAACTGTGGAGCTTTGTTCTACTCTATCCCATCAACACAACACATGGAGCTGTATCAGTAAGGTGCTTTTATATAGCTTTTGTTCGTGTTCCTTTTATTTGCAGTTTGATCCATAAAATGTCATCTAGTTTGCATTAAAAGCACTCCTTTTATTTTCAGTTTGATTCATAAAATGTCATCTAGTTTGCATTAAAAGCACAATAAATTGTATTGAAGATGTTCTACTATGATACTGACAAAGCATGGATTAAATTGCACTGAATGTTGATGCATGGCCAAAGTATTCTAATAATGACTATTGTACCACCTAGCACCACCAATAATGACTATTGTACCACCTAGCACCACCAATAATGACCATTGTACCACCTAGCACCACCAATAATGACTCAAATTAATGGAACACAAAGTTTGTAAACAGTTGTGTAACAAGCTTGACCACCTGGTGTAACGTTGTCATGAGACACATTAGGACCATTGGAGTCAATGTCTCGTTCACACTCAATGATGAACAGCAACACAAATGCTTACCTGTCCACGTTTCATCTGTTCCTGGAAGATTTTGAAGTTTCCTCTGTGTTTTGGGTCGTGGAGTCGGAGAAGGCGGCCGTCACATAACCAGGAATGGGGAACATCAGGATAGAGGACACTTGTCTCCGTTAGGTTGTGCACCAGTATGGGCGTGTCACATGCTATCATACCACTATATCCAGAACGAGGGATGTAATGCATCAATTTGATTGGCTGACTATTCTCATCTCTAGGCAACTGCTTTTCAACAACTGATTGAATAATATCGTCCAGAGTACTGCTAGTGTTGTTCTTTGACTTAGCTGGTTTTTTGTTACTTTCTCCACCAGATTTCACTTTGCCGGCAGTTTTTGTTAGTAATTCCCGTAATGTTGAGCAACTGGTTGGACCTTTCTTGTCACTTTCACTTTCACCCACATTGCCCTGTCCACATGGAGACACAGGCTCTGTGATGGGGTTGTATCCTTTTCCATATTTATCAGTCTCTCCGCGACGTTTGTTGTACGGAGACTCGCTTCGCTCTCGACTGTTTTCCGAGTCCATAGAAGCAACATCAGCCAACATTCTGAGCGGGGAGGAACTGTCGGGACTGTAGCCACCCAGCGAGGACTTAACATTGCCATTGACGGCCTGAGAATCATGCTTTCTGTTGCCTTTGTGAGACTTGTGGTCATCACCTACACCGTTGACCATCTTCCTGTTCTTCTCGTTTGATATGTGGTTTAATGCATGGAGATACTTCTGGAAAAACAAAATGAAAATACTGCTTAAGAACTTTTTTTTTTACCAAGATTGTACAAGCTGTGTGGCAACTCTTTTGCAAATGACATTTAACATTTGTTAGAAACTTATTATTTTGTTATTGTTATTATTCAACATTTTAGACAGAAAAATCTCAAACCGCTACTTGAATTATAATTTCAACATCTTCACAACTTACCTGTGTTAGTCCATTTTTTGGTGGATATTTCATCGTTTTATCACAAGAGCACTTGGATGGAATATCCCACTTGTTACGAATTTCATGGATTTGTCTGCCAACTTCCCAAAGGGCTGTAGTAAAAGAAAGGAAATCAAAAATGTACATTCTGCTTCCTGACCAAAATTAAATACATGCAAGTGATTTAGCAGGTCAATTTGATTCATTTGATAGAGTGATTTAACAGAGAGAGAGCTAAGATTTATCTGGGTGAGCTAGGAATGAACTGAATGAATAAGTACCATCCTACCAAATGATCTGAATGACCTGCTCACCATTGAAAGGAATGATCTGGGTGAGCTTGGAATGAACTGAGTGAGTTATTAATCATACTAATGATTGATCTCATTGAGCGAGAAATGACCAGAATGATCTGGGTGAGCTTTATGAATGATCCAAGTAACCATCACAAAGAATGACGCATGGAATGATCCAAGTAACCATCACAAAGAATGACGCATGGAATGATCCAAGTAACCATCACAAAGAATGACGCATGCAAGTAACTTACCGTCCCGTGGAATGATTTGAGTGAGCATCAGCTTGTCCACCTCGTGTTGTTGGCGATTTGAGCTGCAGGTAAGCCATCTCCTCTGGTCCTCACCAGGAGGAGTATGATCCTCGTCATCATCTCTTTCCTTCTCCTCCTCCTCCTCGTCATCATCTTCCTCATGCTTCAGGGCCTTCATGCGTACCTTGTAACAGTCCAGACACACCACAAAGCCACACTTATGACACACCCAGTGCATATTGAAGAGAGTTGTGTCACAAACATCGCACATTTCACGCACGCCTGTTACTGCACGTTTCCACGCAATCTTGGCTGTAAACAAAAGTAACAAGATTGAGGATGTTTTCTATAGTTATAACTACCTTAATTCAGGGTAAATGAAATTTGAATAACGAAGATGGATCAAACATCTCCTGACAAAATCCTTGATTTGCTTTGTAGAAAATTCCATACTGATGTCCTCCATACTAACCTTCCTCCCCAGCCCAGGACCGCGCCTCTCTCTCCTGCTCCACCAGTTCACAGAACCGATCTCCGATTTTGGCAACAACATATTTGGATGTCTCGATGTCCATCTTTGGTTCCATGACTGGTGTGTGAGGTAACCAAGGTTCAATGTCATCATACTCGGCATCAGACAGTTCCGAAAACCCGGCAATTGTCAGAAAACCTTTTTGACTATATCGCAACCTGTAAAGTATAACAAAAAAATGTTTTTCAGTAAACCTGGTCTAGTTTGACCCCTTATGTAACTAAAATGGTAAAATTGCAATATCTGTCAGTATCTAACAGCTAATTGGGTTGTTTAGACGTTTATTTTTCCTTACTGTGAGTACAAATTTCTCGTCATTATAATGAGTGGTTACTTGTATTGGTGTGGTATGTATATGGGCTGGCCATTACAGGTGCCAGAACTGTGAAGGCAGTAATAAAGACAGCTAGGTCTCACCACATGGTGTGTTTATGTATGTACAGGCCCATACATCAGTCAGGGTTATGACCTTGGCCGGCAGTCTGATTTATCTCAGTTTCCTGGTCCTGTCACTAGTTATCTCCACTAGTAACCCCATGTTTACAGCTGATGATGGTGGTGGTACAATGGTTGAGATTACTGAACTCTGGGAAGACCCTAACTATACAACCTACCAAATGTATTCTATTTATTGCAGATTTTTTACATCCTCAATAAATATTTTAATTTTACTACTTGTTTTTTTTTTTACATGCTTATAACCCAACCCGAGTTTCGAGACATTTTGAGACGTTCCCTGGTTCTAGAGTAATGCTATGACCTGTTCCCTCACCCAGTCCCCCTGTAGGCAGAGACTCCACCATCAACTCATTGTGTCTGTTTTCTCATGTGGAAACATCTCTGTACAGTCAGGTCAGGGGTACAAAGGGGGAATGTACAAGGAAGATAAACAAACAACATAATTACACAGTATTCCTGGCTCATGGATAGTACAACCCAATGACCTTTCTCCTCCAGTGAGTGAACTCCATTCTAGAGAACTGGCTCCTTGCATGGATACAGATCAATACACTGATAGAGATTAATGGTCCCTCGGCCCACAAGATATTAAGCCTCATGGCAGCAATGCTACATTTTTGTACATGGAATTCAACCAATTTGTTTAATAATGGACTTTATTTCTTTTCAATAGGATCAAAAGAAGTAAGTGTATTTTACAACCAATACAAAAGGCCATTTAATCCTGAATCTGGCACACATTTTCTTCCTGAATAAAGACCTAGAAAAATAATGGGGCCTCTAAAACTGAACGATCCATCATTCTGAGAAGGATTCATGGGTGACAGGGGGATGTGTGTATTCTCAAAAATGATCCATAAAAGTCAGGAGCCATCAGAGAGAGTTGTGCCCAGCTGAGCCAAACTAGGCCTGCTTCACTGAGTCTTCAGCAACACCTGTTACTGCATGGCTTCTCTCCCAGCCAACATGACATCAGCTTACTGGTGACATCAGCCCACTTGTCCAGGAGGGCCACAACCTCTGACCTCCCCAGCCCTACACTATAGTATCACCCCCTAACCTAAATGATTCCCATCCCTTCACAACAAAGACATACCAGGAGATTTGTGACCATTAATGTCAGTGTTGGGCCTGTTTACAAGCAAAGATCAAGGACAAAAGATGTAGCTATGTGAAAGAAACTCTCTTCCTCGAATAAATGTTGTGAGTAATCACTACAAACTCCTCCCTAACTGGAAATTCCTCCAACAAATTGACCTCCAATTGATTATGGAAGCCTTACATGTATTCTGTACCTTCTAACAGTACAGGAGCCTTGCTGTTTCAACCTAATTATCACTAAATGTTGTTTGCTACTGAAATTCAGTGAATTCTCTAGACACTAGAGAGGAAGTGTAATAACAATGCAACCTAAGGCCCAGGAAATAAAACAACTGATGCATCGTTATGTCACAGCACTAATACACCAGTATTTTAATGCATCGTTATGTCACAGCACTAATACACCAGTATTTTAATGCTTTGTAATGTCACAGCAATAATACACCAGTATTTTAATGCTTTGTTATGTCACCGCACTAATACACCAGTCTTTTAATGCTTTGTTATGTCACAGCACTAATACACAAGTATTTTAATGCTTTGTTATGTCACAGCACTAATCCACCAGTATTTTAATGCTTTGTTATGTCACAGCACTAATACACCAGGATTTTAATGCATCGTTATGTCACAGCACTAATACACAAGTATTTTAATGCTTTGTTATGTCACAGCACTAATACAGCAGTATTTTAATGCTTTGCTATGTCACAGCACTAATACACCAGTATTTTAATGCTTTGTAATGTCACAGCACTAATACTCCAGTATTTTAATGCATCGTTATGTCACAGCACTAAAACACCAGTATTTTAATGCATCGTTATGTCACAGCACTAATACACCAGTCTTTTAATGCTTTGTTATGTCACAGCACTAATACACCAGGATTTTAATGCATCGTTATGTCACAGCACTAATACACCAGTCTTTTAATGCTTTGTTATGTCACAGCACTAATACACCAGGATTTTAATGCATCGTTATGTCACAGCACTAATACACCAGTCTTTTAATGCTTTGTTATGTCACAGCACTAATACACCAGAATTTTAATGCTTTGTTATGTCACAGCACTAATACAGCAGTATTTTAATGCTTTGCTATGTCACAGCACTAATACACCAGTATTTTAATTCTTTGTTATGTCACAGCACTAATACACCAGTATTTTACTGCTTTATTATGTCACAGCACTAATACACCAGTATTTTAATGCTTTGTTATGGGCTCCAGGAAAAGCTGTTCCCTCTTTAACAGAAACTAATGCAAGCAGCCAACAACACCACAGGGCTAAAAGAACTATAACACATGATATCTATCTGAAAAGTACAGCATAGCTTATACAAGTGTTGCAAACAAAGGCATTTCTGTGGTGCTTAACACTTAAACAGCCATAACCATCAGAATGGATGTAAAAGGCATTAGTTTGGTAGACGTACCAGAAAAGGTACCTGATCATTTAAGTAAAAGAGGAAAAGCTCTTTAGAGAGTTCCCTGGCAATTTATGACTGCCACAAATTCTGTGTTGTTGAGAAGAGCTGAACAATTTATGGCCCGAAGGATTTCCACTTGAAGAGAAGCGCACATGGTGATATGTGGATCGTTAGTTGTGGGAATGTGGGCTGGAATTGTAGACAGCTCAGGCCTCTGTCCCAGACTCAATCAATCCCCTCTAAGTAGCCGGGCAACTGTGCAGTATTTGGCTGCTTTATCCTTTACACTCTACCACAAAGGTGCCAAGTCTAGTTTGTTTACAATTCTTGTTTATCTTCACTCCAATATTTTCCATAATCCAATAATTGTAGGTTCTATTTGACGTTTAAGTAGGAATCTAACAATTTCTGTTGTTTTTATTTTGTGTTTTTTTATTGGTAGAAATTTCACATGCTACTATTAATTATCTAGAGAATGGAAGTTGCTGATACTGGGAGGCGAAGCTATCCACAGCAGGCTACTGTAATCAGCTCCACATGTCTGGCTACAGACCTACACATTATCAAACAAGCACCCACTTCAAGTTTTCAAGAGATTTTCCCAGATAGGGAAACTTCAGGTTTTATTTACCTCAGTGACCCCTGCTTACAAACACACTACAAGGTTTTTTCCCTGCAATATTATAAGGATCAACACTTCAGCTGCAATCAGATAAACTTAGATTTTTTTTCTACAGATAGATTCTTATCATTGAAGTGGCTCTTTTTATTTCATCTTCTGTTCATAGTTTTATCTTGAATGTAGGAAAATTCTGTTATCTTGTAGGTTTTCCCCTCACGTGATGTTTACCAATGTTAGAGACCTCCTCACACACGATATCTGACATCACCGCTCTATACCATGGTTACCATAGATTGTTGACGGTGAAGACTAGCATCATGGCCAATACATTACAGTACCATAGGTTTGTAAGTGATGAATAGGAGGATATACACTCCAGCACCACAAACTGGTGTATAATATAAGTAAGTGGCTGGGTGAATGTGAAGATACATTCCAGTACCACACATATCTATAACTGTTGTGTTGGGAGGGGATAGTCTGTAGCCAGTTTATACAGACGCTACACATATCTATAACAGTTGAGTTGGGAGGGGATAGTCTGTAGCCGGTTTATACAGACTCTACACATATCTATAACAGTTGTGTGATGGTAGGTTAAGTTGCGCTATAGCAGCAGATGTGCTCAACTGATCACACACTTATCATTATTGCCCCATAAAATACATAAAACCTCCAGGTGACAAGACAGAAATCCAGGCATACTGACTCATCAAAAGTTACAGCCGACCTCTCTTTACAAGTCAATTCTATCGCATTATTTCTATATATAGAACAACTTTGTATCTTTGAGAAAGGAATCAATCATTACGGCATTTAGGTAAATATTTATTTTAAAATTTGTTTTTGAAAAGAATGACAGAGATATCTTGTTTACAATGAAATGCACTGTGTAGTTGTCATGGCTTTGTTGACCTCACCTTCTGAAGGCGTAGAACCTGCAGAATATGTTTGGAAGTTTTTTGCTGCGTTGGGTTGGTGTCATCTTACATTCACGACACTTCATGAGTTTGGGGGTGACCTCACTACAAGAACCATCCTGCAGAAAAGGCTGACATGTCCTCTTCAGTGTGGCAACAGTTGCCTTCACCAGGGGCTTATTGAACGAGGAACCTGTCAGGACAAAAGTGTTAAGATTTAATGTAACTCAAAACTTAAATAAATTCATAAAGAAATAGGCAAAACATAACTTCAAAAAGCTAATTTCTTAAAGGAAGCAGTTAAATTGTTAACACTTTGTCAAAACAATATTTTTTTATGAAATAACATGAGCTCAATACCATGTTATGTGTGAATTTCGTTGTGGGATACCAATGCCTACCATTGTTCTTAGCGATGAAGTCTACTTCTTTGGGTGGGATGATGCTGTTGCATCCCCTATTACTTTCTCTTTCCCATTCCAGCTCCATCTCCCTCATTTCAATGTCTCGGGCCTCCTGCTCTTTCTCTCTTTCCCTGTCTCTTTCTTTTTCTCTTTCCTTTTCCCTGTCTCTGTCCCTGCTTCTGTCTCTCTGCCTATCTTTTTCTTTGTCTTTTTCACTTTCCCGATCTCTTTCCCTTTCTCTTTCCCGATCTCTTTCCCGTTCTCTTTCCCGATCTCTTTCCCTTTCTCTTTCCCGTTCTCGTTCCCTTTCTCTTTCCTTTTCACGTTCCTTTTCCCTCTGTCTTTCCTTTTTGTGCTTCTTCTTCTCCTTGCTGCTGATACTACTGATACTGCTGGATGAAGAAGATAGAGAGGATGACGGTGGTGCTTCCATGGGTTTGGAAATATCCATCGGCTTGGGTCCATCATTAGCTTCGCTGTTGGAGGCCTGCTGGCTGTCTGAGGAGGCATAGGAGGCATGTTTGGTCTCCTTTTTCTCCTTCTTAATGGGTGGGGCCGCCGAGGTGGGGACGGGAGGACTGGTGGGGGGGATACCGCTGCCATTGGTTACTTCAGGCTCTAACTTCAATTCCAACTTGTTCTCCGACTTGGGTTCCAGCTTCAGCTTCTTCACTACACTCCCATTGCTACGCTCATCCTCACTGGACTCTTTACTCTGCAAAAGTATAAAATCAAACCAATGAACATTATTTTCTACAACGTACAATCATAAATCATTAAAAAAAATGTAAAATCACGAAGGAAACTGGCATATAATCATAACAATGAGATTAGAATTAGAGAATGAACTTTTTAATCAACATTTTAACATTTAAGCAAGCTGGTTTTGAAATCAACCGAGATCTCGACCATGATTTTTCTATCTCTGAAATGCTGTAATCTCAGTATTAGATTCTAACCTCATTGGTGAAACATGAAGCTCCATTTCAAAGCCATTATGCAAATCATCTTAAAAATCATTTCCAGCAACTTTCATGCATGCACTAAATCCATTAGCTGAATCTATACATCACTCCACCATTTAAACAACATTTTGACATGAGAGATGGGCAAAGCAAAGTTCTATGACAAGATGCTTTCTGGATAAAAAGCTTTGAGATTTGTGAGATTTACATCTCAGAATTACAAAGCTTCAACTTCAAAGTGGGTATAAACTGATTTAGTGATTACACAACATGAGAGGACTGGAACAACCAGTAAGTCAGAGGAAACCCTACATCAACAACCAAACCAGCAACATCCTGGCCGAGTGTTCTGGTAAAACCCCCACACAACAACACAGTGACAGTAGACCTACATAATGCATTGTCTGATAGTTTTGTACAAGGGTTCAAAGCCCAGTGCTTTGTCCTGTGTTGGCATTGCAGCCTACCAACACAATGGCCTGCCCTACACATTGGGAGACAGGCTGTCAAGGTAAGCAGGAGCGACTGGTCGATGGCAAATGTGACCAAGTAGTTGGAGCATATTACACCATCAGGGTAATGCCACAGAACACTGCCAAATCAATGAGGCTTTTATTTTCTTTACTGTGGAGTGTGTGCTTAGTGAGCGATAAAAAGGGACAACATTCCTTGGTGGCACAGAGCTCTGTCTACCAGGTATTGATTGTCCACATCGACATCACACTCTGGCTCCTGTGTAGACTATCACCTACCACCTCCTACTTCCAACAAACAAATTGGTCTGTCTTCTTATCACTGAAATCATTTCAGAGATATCTCTCAACACTACAATACACATTAGGTCATGATAGAAAGCCATTTAAACCTTGAGATACAGCTTACTCTGTTGACTGTATCCCCCGACATATAACCAGGCAACACAGTATGAATAACCTCTAGATCTTTGTCCTGTACAGAGGTCAGACCTTACTAGGATGCCATTGATTTCCTGCTACAATGTTCTCTACCAACACAACCGGCTTACAACCCTGCTGGTCTACACTACCTGTGGCCCAGTGTAGGCCCAAAACATCTCCGAGATCCTTGTTGCCATCTCAAGTGTGCCAAGAGAGTAAGCCACTATCCTACAAAGTCCTTATGTCATTCCTGCAGCTAGACAGATCATATCTGGGCCTCCACCAGTAAATCAGCCTATTGATTTTCCCTACCAGAAATTCTCCAACTAAACCCAATTTAGAGCCAGGCCCATTAAAATGCCTGCCAGAGTATTGATAACTTTGTCTGACAGGCAATACTCCACTCACTTTACATCCCATTCCTTAGCACACTTTAAACTATGTATTTTCTCCCAAAAACGTTTCTAAATGAATCAAGCTGATTAAATATCTAGGTTAACTGTTTCTATATACTGCAAGATAACCAATTAAACCACGCTACACAAACCCAAGATCTGCAGAAATAGCTATGTGCATGAGAGATTACATACAAGTCTTAGTTAAAATTCAATTTAACAATGTGACTGTTGTAGATCACTTACTAATATAACCAGACCTGTTTTAGGATCTAACTGTCCTAATTGTGCCATAAAAAGTTTGTTTTTCTTAATTCAGCTGACCTATCTCTATCCATGGGTAAGACTGTCAGCACATGGACAGATTTGTTGAGTCAGTTGAACAAAACACAATTACATCTGGGACTTGTTTTGGTATGTGTTTTACTAAACAAAGTTAGCATTAATCAATGTCATTACTGGAGGCTTAAGTAAACAGAAGATAGATGGATTAGTTTAGTAGCATTTCAGGGTCAGTTAGAGGTCACCTTCAAAGGATGAGGTATAAACATAAGTACACTCCATTGTGGGAGACCCACAGCTGGGCCATCAAACCTACGGTTTCTAAGCTGCTACAATGGAATCATCATTGCGTTGACCTGGAACACAGCAAAACACATGGCAGGGGGTGAAGGTTAATGTGGGGGCTGTTTAGCTATCTGGCAAGTGTGAATCTGATGGGAGCTCCATTGTCAACCAACCAATCAACACCAGGGAATCAATCGTCTCCCACACATGAAGTGTCAATATTTATGTATCCTTAATGAAACTTGCTACAAAGCTTACAGCCCCTACAACAGGAATCTATTTTTCAGATTCCCTCTTGTAACCCCACGAACCTCAAAACAAGAATCTGTTTCTTACATAGCCTCTCAGAACCACACAACAGAAGGGTTGCTTCCTGATATACCTTACAGGGACCAACAACTCCCAATAACCAGCCCACTAATCCCTGCTCACTCATCAGTGAGATAAAACTAATTCTGTAATCCAGCACCAATCTGTCTGTGTTTGAAGGAGCAGGAAGCTAGCAGCCCTGGAGATGATATCATACTTGTATATTAGTGGGTAACTATGGTGGGGGTGGGGGATACAGGAAGTCTTGTGGGGTATACATCTTGTTTATAACATGTACATCGAGGAAGGAGAGGGCTGTAGTAGTGATAAACATGTGTATCTGGGCCGCTCCCCTAGCTATCTGTATATACAGCTCACTGCTCCCCCATACCAGTAATCACAACACCATCGTCATCATGGTCACATAGTCAGATAGCATTACCAAACCATTAGCAATCGATATCAATTATATCTCCATTCAGCACTGCTTACGACTTCTTGGTAGAAATGAATTAACATTTTACAGCACATTTATTGGGGCAGATAAACATGGGATTTTTAATACATCCTCTACGGGCAATATCTACATAACAATACCAGCTGGTCCTCCAATAACTACAAGCTGTCACTAGATATATGATCCCTAGTAATGTTTACTACACAGTATGTCGGGCAAACTCATTTCTATGAAGTGCCCTATCTACTTCCATTCAAAGCCCCAGACAGGTAGAAGATTGACTAACCACAAACTTCCGGCTAGGTGAACAAGGCTGTGTGTGTGTGCTACACCCACGTCACATGGTGTACGCCACATCACGCCACAACTCGGGGTCACCTCCATCAAAACCTGACAGGGACAAACAGCAATTAAGGTATAAGCCAGCGTTGCTATGGATAATCATTAATGTTAATAAGACAAAATCACTGGAAAAACCTTGGTACACTTTGAAGTTTGGTGGTCATGATGTTTTGGTGAGTCAGCTCAGGGGTATTCAGTGCTTTGTTCTGTGGAACAGATCAAGGGTTGAGAAGTGAAGGGTGCACATTACCATTGGATCCAACACGCTGGGGATTTACAAAGCTGACCCAGCTTTTACAGGGCAAGTAGTCTGTACTAGGTGACCGACCACCACTGTCATTAAACACCCAAAAACCTGTAACTCTGCGGTTATATAGCAACAATTACGAGGGCTATTGAGAGCATGCACCGGTGCAACTTCAATGTGCAATATCAAGGACCATATCAACTAGGAAAACCTGGCCCTAACAGCAAAACAACCTATAAATAAACTGTAACAATAGGATAATAAAACTACCAATCTCAAATGTTTAGCATTACATTCATCACACAAACCAACTACAACTTAAAATATGTACATATACACAGGTGGTTCATTTCATTTGGAATGCAAATCTGAATTAATAACAAAGTCAAAACAATATCTATAGGCAGTGTATGTTTCTACCATTCAACAAAATATTAGCTAACACGGCATATTAGTTAGCCTTTGGTCACAATCAGCATTACTTTTATTAACTTTCACAATACAGCCCCACCATCTTCCAACAATATTGCACTATGAAATAACCTTGATACCTATAACTTTATTGGCATCAACCTAATAAATAGAAGATCTGTCATTAAATTACATCCCCCCTACCTCCCTCTTTCAACAGGATACCCTAGGACCCTGTGGGGGAACTGATCTGGTGATTTGTTGGGAGGCAGACTAGACTCCCTAATCAGTTCAGTCTATGCTGTTTGCACACCATGCATGAGGAACAGAACTTGATGTTGCACTCGACCTTTACTAGGGGTCACAGATCAATGGGGGAAGGATGTCATGCATGTAAATCTGCTCAACATGCTAAAGCAGGTACAGACATTCTCAAGGTTACCCCCTTCCATCTCACATTCCCCTGTAATGTCAGTCCATTTCTCAATAACAGTACTCGAGAAAAGAAGGAGTTTATGTCAGTACATGTGGATTTGTTTTTCTGCAAACAGACCAACACCCCCTTCCCCATACCTCCTCAAAACAAGTCACCCACGCTCTCACAAACTTCAATGGTGGTCTATAAACAGTGATGATTAGTTCCACACCGCCAATATAAAGTCTACTTGTCAACTGTAGACAAGTAATTTGCTGGAATACTCTCTCAGTCAGCTGAACTTCAAAGCCTACCATTGCACACAGCACAGCAGATGAGGTCTAGTGATAAAACAAGCACTTAATTAAATTGCATGGGGCAGTACAATAAATCCACCATGTGTAATATCAGTGAAAGCAGTCTGGGAGAGAGATAGTATCTCCCATCAATGCCTCTAACATTCTATTACATAATAATACAGTACACTGAGGCTACAGCCAGCCCACACAAGTTTGTCTAACCCTCGCCTACCCTACTACAGACACAGATAAACTCCTCTGGGACCCTCATACAGCCTTCTACAGATATAGCACAGTATAGACTCCCCAGGGACCCTCGCCCACCCTACTACAAACACAGGATAGACACCCCAGGGACCCTCGCCCACCCTACTACAGATATAACACAGTATAGACACCCCAGGGACCCTCTTACAGCCTTCTACAGATATAGCACAGTATAGACTCCCCATGGACCCTCGCCCACCCTACTACAGACACAGATAAACTCCTCTGGGACCCTCATACAGCCTTCTACATATACAGCACAGTATAGACTCCCCAGGGACCCTCGCCCACCCTACTACAGATATAACACAGTATAGACTCCCCAGGGACCCTCGCCCACCCTACTACAGACACAGGATAGACTCCCCTGGGAGCCTCGCCCACCCTACTACAGACACAGTATAGACTCCCCTTGAACCCTCTTACAGCCTTCTACAGATATAGCACAGTATAGACTCCCCATGGACCCTCGCCCACCCTACTCCAGAAAAAACACAGTATAGACACCCCAGGGACCCTCGCCCACCCTATTCCAGATATAACACAGTATAGACACCCCAGGGCCCCTCCCCCCCCCTACTACAAATATAACACAGTATAGATTCTCCCTGGTACCCTCGTCCACCCTACTATAGATATAACACAGTATAGACACCCCAGGGACCCTCGCCCACCCTATTACAGATATAACACAGTATAGACACCCCAGGGACCCTCGCCCGCCCTTCTACAGATATAGCACAGTATAGACTCCCCATGGACCCTCGCCCACCCTACTACAGATATAACAGTATAGACTCCCCAGGGACCCTCACCCACCCTATTATAGATATAACACAGTATAGACGCCCCAGGGACCCTCGCCCACCCTACTATAGAGATAACACTGTATAGACACCCCAGGGACACTCGCCCACCCTACTACAGATATAACAGAGTATAGACACCCCAGGGACCCTCACCCACCCTATTATAGATATAACACAGTATAGACTCCCCAGGGACCCTCGCCCACCCTACTATAGATATAACACTGTATAGACACCCCAGGGACCCTCGCCCACCCTACTACAGATATAACACAGTATAGACTCCCCAGGGACCCTCGCCCACCCTACTACAGATAAAACACAGTATAGACACCCCAGGGACCCTCACCCCCCCTATTATAGATATAACACAGTATAGACACCCCAGGGACCCTCACCCACCCTATTACAGATATAACACAGTATAGACAGTGTCATTTATGTAGGTTTGGAGGCTTTCTATACATTAGCCACACCAACACGCTCACCACATTTCTATAACATAGTACAGGAAACACATTGTCATAGTAAGATTGCAGTCCAGTTTTATCATGGGAGAGTATTTTTTATATCTCCTAGGACCACCAATGCTGGTCCCATATAAATACTACCTTCCAACATTTCATTTTGAGAACTCCAGTAGAGGCAAGCATAACTCCCACACAACATCCAAGAACCACAACATCCAAGGACAATGTGGACCCCTAGTCTGGTAGAAATCCTCTACCAGCTTGGTGACAGTCTGCCGAGCTGTGCTCACACATTCACACCACTAATCCTGTCTATACATACAAGCAGTGGTTACCTTAGCACTATCTTTGCTCTCCTTATTTTTCTTGCTCTTCTTTTTGCTGGCGGTGACTGGGGTGGGGTTGGTGTTAGGGCTAGGATTTGGGTTAGGGATGCTCTCTACCATAGCCTCGCTTTCTTGTTGTTCCTGTCGCTGCTTTTTATTGGTGCTACTTCGCTTTTTTTGTCGCTTTTTTCCTGGAACTTCCGGGTTCTGTAAATATAAAGAACCAAATAAATCATACAAAAAACTTTTTAAAGAATTGATGAACATGAAGCATGGCTCTCGAGTCTGGAATGCAGGTGTCTGAAAGGTGAGGAAAAGAGTTTTTATTTTAATGTTTTACAAACAATTGATGAACATGCATGTACACCAGGTAGGTGTATCCATGCTTTTATGAGGGTTTATAACTGTAGCTATATATAGGTATCTAAGCTTATGTATATAGAATTTGTTATTGTTCGGGTGTTAAAGAGATTTGAATTACTAATGTGATATTATTACTATAATATGACAGAATGAATCTTTGATGTTTTAACTTATTCAGTACTTCAAATGTGTCCTTATGTTCAATAAATCTCTTCCTTTTTAAAACTGATGCATATTTGGGACAAGTGAACTGTATATAATGTAAAATTTCAGCAGAGCAAACATCACAGAGCAACAGCTGACAGCATTCAATGTCACAACACTGACCAAATCAGGAGTCATTATTTCCAAACTGTCAGGAAACAGCTGCTGGCGTAGGCCCATCAACCATTATGCATGAGAGCAACCAGGTCAGATTTTATATACTGCTACACAGGAAACAGTAAATATCATCTATCAGAAAAAAGGGGTGGGAAACAGCTGTGGGTTTCACTAAACATGGCCAAGTTGATATTGATGGCATGTGGAGGTGGTTTTTATACGACTAAAATTACATCACACTGTTAGCTGAGGGGTAGAGTGTAATCATGACTGATACAATGGGTACAGTAACAACGACTGATACAATGGGTATAGTAACAACGACCGATACAATGGGTACAGTAACAACGACTGATACAATGGGTACAATAACACACACTGATACAATGGGTACAGTAACCACCACTGATACAATGGGTACAGTAACAACCACTGACACAATGGGTACAGTAACAACGACTGATACAATGGGTACAGTAACAACGACTGATACAATGGGTACAGTGACAACGACTGATACAATGGGTACAGTAACCATGACTGATACAATGGGTACAGTAACAACCACTGATACAATGGGTACAGTAACAACGACTGATACAATGGATACAGTAACCACCACTGATACAATGGGTACAGTGACAACGACTGATACAATGGGTACAGTAACAACGACTGATACAATGGGAACAGTAACAACCACTGATACAAAGGGTACAGTAACAACAACTGATACAATGGGGACAGGAACAACCACTGATACAATGGGTACAGCAACAACGACTGATACAATGAGTTCAGTAACAACCACTGATACAAAGGGTACAGTAACAACAACTGAGACAATGGGTACAGTAACAAAGACTGATACAATGGGTACAGCAACAACGACTGATACAATGGATACATTAACCACCACTGATACAATGGGTAACAACGACTGATACAATTGGTACAGCGACAACGACTGATACAATGGATACAGTAACAACCACTGATGCAATGGGTACAGTAACAACGACCGATACAATGGGTTCAGTGGTTAACATGTCAAGTAATCTGGTGTCCACATGGAGGGTATAAGGAGTGTCAACAAGTGGTGCCCAAGAAAATGTCTGCAAGACATGGATTCCTGCTAGCCAATTAAGTAGGTTGAGTGATGATAATGAATCTGCTGACAAAATAGAAATAATTGACCTATAAATAGCCTCAGAGACTTTGGCCTTGACCTTGGGACATGAAGTACCATTTCATCCAAGGCATTCCCATACTTGACCTTTGTACAAACTTTGATGAAAATGTGTTAAGAAATGAATGTCAATGAATCTAAGCAGGATGGTTAATATGTGGGTAGATATCCCCCCAACTTGTATGGGGAGGGGGGATGATAAAAATTGTGAGATTTGAGATGATGGTGTTAGGGACTTCAACATATGTATGAGGAATTCCAACATGTACGGGTGTTTTGGGAGCGTCAATGTGTTGGTTGTAAATATATCAGCCATTACTGTAAACAAGCGAGATGTTAACATGATGGATGTAAACTAAGGGTTCAAATGTACAGGAGGAAAACTATTGGGTGTAAATAGGCTGGGTGTATTGGTCATAAACCAGACATTTTTCTTTTTTATGTGGAATGTTGTTTCCCCTTTATTTTGACTGTGGACAAGAAAGATGTCTACTGTACAAACTGCATTTGATAAAAAGTAAGCACATGAGTCAATCACGCAAACTAAACAGCAGGGTATTACTGAATGGATTTCTGTTTCCTGCACTTGCCCCGAAACACTGGCATTTTAGTGATGCCCACCATTCTCTACAGAAACATGGCTGACCTTACAATCATGTAAGGTTTGATATGCCCTCCTAGTTGCTATAGAAACATGGCTGACCTGACAATCATGTGAGGTCAGATATGCCCTCCTAGCTGCTACAGAAACATGGCTGACCTGACAATCATGTGAGGTTAGATATGCCCTCCTAGCTGCTTCAGAACAGTTCTTTGTGTCTGAGAATGACTTAGGCCTGAAATTTTATGCAAGACTCAAGTTCAGACAATATCATCTCTGATGCTTTAATAGAAATTTGTGACAAAAAGGTAACAAGGATGTGCTTTATCACCTAAAATAAATGATATTTTTTTTGTGAATGCTATCCTGTGTACAAGTAGAAACATACATTACTAAGACTGCAGTAAGTGTGGCAAGGTGGCAGAGCGCGTTTGTCGGGCTGTCAGTATGTAGTGGGCTAAGATAGAGTGTAATGAGCCTGTAACGCTGACTATTGATGTCTATCACACACACACACATGTGGAAAGTATAGGAGTGACCATTAGTCATCCTTCCCCATACAAACATACCTAGGTCACATGATATAAACTGTGTTACACTTTACACAACACTGTTAACCCTTCCCCATACAAACATACCTAGGTCACCTTATAAACCGTGTTACACTTTACACAACACTGTTAATCTTAACCAAGAAGAGTTACATAAATATACAACATGCCATCTTCATTTACAATATACACTGTAATGTCTCAACTACCCTATGATCACATCATTCGGCCGGTTTACAGGGGGTTTCAAATTATAGAGTGTCTATCTGAACCATATTTATTAAGGTCAGTTTAGACAAGAATCCAGTTTAGACAGCCTGATTTAGATACAGTATAAAGTTAATACTTGTGTTTGAACTGGTATCTGATGTACAATCCTTTTAGCACTCCCCAATTTGTGTTTCTGCAATCTGAAAATATCTCTATTTCTACAAGTGCCTGGCACTATTATTTCTCTTTCATAAAACTTTCAGATGATTTCATTATGTTTTTAAAAGCTATCATCTCAATCTATAGGCCTTAAGTGGAATGTCACTATCTTACAATCGTGTCCTGTAGTTCCTCTTTCAATAAAATATTAATATTTTCAGGAGGCCTCCATACCACACCGACAGATCTATAATACCACAGACCTGACTATATTCACTATACAATAAGTAAACACACACACTACCACAGACCTGTATGGTCACTATACAATCAGTAACACACACTACCACAGACCTGTATAGTCACTATACAATCAGTAACACACACTACCACAGACCTGTATAGTCACTATACAATCAGTAACACACACTACCACAGACCTGTATAGTCACTATACAATCAGTAACACACACTACCACAGACCTGTATAGTCACTATACAATCAGTAACACACACTACCACAGACCTGTATAGTCACTATACAATCAGTAACACACACTACCACAGACCTGTATAGTCACTATACAATCAGTAACACACACTACCACAGACCTGTATAGTCACTATACAATCAGTAACACACACTACCACAGACCTGTATAGTCACTATACAATCAGTAACACACACTACCACAGACCTGTATAGTCACTATACAATCAGTAACACACACTACCACAGACCTGTATAGTCACTATACAATCAGTAACACACACTACCACAGACCTGTATAGTCACTATACAATCAGTAACACACACTACCACAGACCTGTATAGTCACTATACAATCAGTAACACACACTACCACAGACCTGTATAGTCACTATACAATCAGTAACACACACTACCACAGACCTGTATAGTCACTATACAATCAGTAACACACACTACCACAGACCTGTATAGTCACTATACAATCAGTAACACACACTACCACAGACCTGTATAGTCACTATACAATCAGTAACACACACTACCACAGACCTGTATAGTCACTATACAATCAGTAACACACACTACCACAGACCTGTATAGTCACTATACAATCAGTAACACACACTACCACAGACCTGTATAGTCACTATACAATCAGTAACACACACTACCACAGACCTGTATAGTCACTATACAATCAGTAACACACACTACCACAGACCTGTATAGTCACTATACAATCAGTAACACACACTACCACAGACCTGTATAGTCACTATACAATCAGTAACACACACTACCACAGACCTGTATAGTCACTATACAATCAGTAACACACACTACCACAGACCTGTATAGTCACTATACAATCAGTAACACACACTACCACAGACCTGTATAGTCACTATACAATCAGTAACACACACTACCACAGACCTGTATAGTCACTATACAATCAGTAACACACACTACCACAGACCTGTATAGTCACTATACAATCAGTAACACACACTACCACAGACCTGTATAGTCACTATACAATCAGTAACACACACTACCACAGACCTGTATAGTCACTATACAATCAGTAACACACACTACCACAGACCTGTATAGTCACTATACAATCAGTAACACACACTACCACAGACCTGTATAGTCACTATACAATCAGTAACACACACTACCACAGACCTGTATAGTCACTATACAATCAGTAACACACACTACCACAGACCTGTATAGTCACTATACAATCAGTAACACACACTACCACAGACCTGTATAGTCACTATACAATCAGTAACACACACTACCACAGACCTGTATAGTCACTATACAATCAGTAACACACACTACCACAGACCTGTATAGTCACTATACAATCAGTAACACACACTACCACAGACCTGTATAGTCACTATACAATCAGTAACACACACTACCACAGACCTGTATAGTCACTATACAATCAGTAACACACACTACCACAGACCTGTATAGTCACTATACAATCAGTAACACACACTACCACAGACCTGTATAGTCACTATACAATCAGTAACACACACTACCACAGACCTGTATAGTCACTATACAATCAGTAACACACACTACCACAGACCTGTATAGTCACTATACAATCAGTAACACACACTACCACAGACCTGTATAGTCACTATACAATCAGTAACACACACTACCACAGACCTGTATAGTCACTATACAATCAGTAACACACACTACCACAGACCTGTATAGTCACTATACAATCAGAAACACACACTACCACAGACCTGTATAGTCACTATACAATCAGTAACACACAATACCACAGACCTGACTACAGTCACTATACAATCAGTAAACACACACACTACCACAGACCTGTATAGTCACTATGCAATCAGTAAACACACACAATACCACAGACCTGTATAGTCACTATGCAATCAGTAAACACACACAATACCACAGACCTGACTACAGTCACTATACAATCAGTAACACACACTACCACAGACCTGTATAGTCACTATACAATCAGTAAACACACACACTACCACAGACCTGACTATAGTCACTATACAATCAGTAAACACACACAATACCACAGACCTGACTATAGTCACTATGCAATCAGTAAACACACAAACTACCACAGACCTGACTATAGTCACTATACAATCAAACTACCACAGACCTGACTATATAACGTACAACAAATATGGATCACATCAGAATCTAATTTACTGAAGGCACTAAAAAAATCTTTGGTACAAAATTTCTTAGACTGAGTTTCTGTTATAGTTTGACCTACATTTTACAGAGAATGCTTTAAACATGTTGCTTAGATGTGTAATCAAAGTTTCTAATTTTGACCCTGTGTCTCTTTATCAACATTTTGTGTTTTGGAGGAGGTTGTCCTAGAGGTCAACACCACTGAAGGGTGACTTCTAACACAATCAGATGATGCTGCCAACCTGTTATCTCACAGCTTTGGCAGGCAACACACAGGTGTAAACAGACATGCTGAATCATTTCAAAAACACACTAGTATCTGGATTCTAAATCATAACCATGTATATGTAGACTGAAAACACAAATAACTTGTGAATTTCTGATGAGAAGTGATGATGTTATTCTTACTTTCCTGTACTGGCACAGGACCAAGAGGATAATCATGCAAACGTCTGTGAGCATGTAACACTCACACTTGTCTGGCCTATCCTTTACTACTGTTACAGAGGCTTCTTCCTCAAATCACACACAGCCTCATGCCAACTGATAAACATCTATATATAACATCCACAAACAGATCTCTCCCTAGGCACCGAACCCTGGGTACTTCTGTAGTGCCAAATCACCTCACTGGGGAGACTGTTTCGCGTGTTAACTGTAATTCCATAAACACCTATGCCAACAGTAATACCAGAAACTACTTGAAGTATTCATATAGCATGTCTTCCACATACCAGTCCCTAGATATCACACACAGGACATCCACCACCACACTAACCATAACACAAGACAGTTAAAGTACAACACAAACCAATATATAAGTACACTGAAACTTTGTGTATCCCAACACAAATAAACTAGGATGTAACACTGAAACTTTGTGTATCCCAACACAAATAAACTATGATGTAACACTTAACCATACCGCACAGCTTTACTGTATGAAGGGTCTGGAAAAGGGGTTTTCTCAATAACTGTAACCTAATGATTGATGAGGGGAAACTTGTATTTCATAGCCATATATTCATAAATATTGCAAAGATGTTTAAATTCATACCCAGCCCATCAATTAATGTAAAAGATGAATGTCTCCAAAAATAAATCAATTTAGCCAGTCATCCCTTGTATACCTGGGTAATTACCCAGCATTCCAACAGACCCATTTAAAATCTAAAGCTGTTGACAACGTAGACTGGGAAATGTGATGCATGGTTAAGTCCATGAATAATTCTCTATCACCTAAAATAACAGCTATAAATTACACAATTATCAAACCTCTAACCTCGTTTATCATGGACGTCTATTCTTTGATCTAATGTGTAGACAATGGATAGGCCTACTACATGCCAATCTGAGGATGATGTCATATTTGTCTGATGTTGAATCGAAAAGATGAAAGAACAAGACAAAAATGTTAGAAGACACCGTAATAAAAACACAAGGATGATGAATAATTACATCATTATATTGTTCTGAAGACTACAAATGTAAGTGTAACTAAATAGAGGTGCACACTTGTCAGATGACGTAATATAAATAGGTGATGTTATAGATGACAGCTGCTTTCCTCGTCCCTATACAGGTGAACACAGGTTTAGGATTAAACATCCCAGTACACATGTCATTTATATATAATCCCATGCAAACAATGTCACAAAATGCACGAGCATGATGTACAGGGGCAACACATGTGATTAACAGGACAAAGATGGCCACCGTGAGGAAATGTACATGTTGATCTCGGCATTCATTTAACCTATCTATCTCACAACAGCTTTCAGCATGTCATTATTCTTAAACTTTCACCTTCATGATCAGGAACACTAAATTTTAAATATTCCATAACCCTTTTTCATTTCTCATGATGGCCATAAACATGTTAAATCTCAAAAGCTAAAATAACAAAATGAATCAACACTTAAAATGAAAGACATGAACAAATAGCGCTAATGTTAGAAATGGCATGAAGACAAATAATGTTATAATTTACGCCATACTTCAGTATTGATGCAATATAAAATGTAAATCAATGCATTTCTTACAGATGTCAAGATAAAACAAGTGACAAACAAGGCCCAATGCTGGTTATGAAGTACAAGGTTTACAACAAGGCCCAAGGCTGGTTATGAAGTACATGGTTTACAACAAGGCCCAATGCTGGTTATATAGGACATGTTTTACAACCAACTTACCTGAGCAGATTCTGTTTCTGATGCAGATGTGGTGGACTCATCGTTACTGATAGAGTGATCCTTGAGGTTACCGTTGATTCTAAGAGCACTGATTGGGGAACGGCTACCTCCCTCCTTACTGGGCGAGATGTAAGAACAATTCACATAACAATTCCGCACAATTTCTGCCTTTTGCTCACGACTATCCCCATGAGGAACTGGAGAGTTTTTTAACTCCTTGTCTTCATCAGAGTGGCGTTGCAACCATGCCTTTTTCAATTTGGGTGCATTGCCGGACTTATGTGGGGATGTACTGTCTGATTTGACATGGGGAGGGGGACTAGGAGCACTGAGGGTGTCACTGTCAGTGTCAATCTGACCATTGGCCACACGATTGATGGTCTCCATCAGAGCTGTGTGACTACTTATACTGCTGCTGCTGCTGCTCAGTGTCTGAGAATGTGAGTCGTCAAGACAACTACTGAGCTGGAGGGGGTCACTTTTCCTGCGTTGGTTTTGGGATTTGGGTTGAGACTGAGGCTGGGGCTGAGACTGAGGCTGGGGCTGGGACTGGGGCTGGGGCTGGGGCTGGGGGGAGTGATGCAACACAGGCTGAGGGGGCGGGGTCTGTCCCACTTGAGCAGGAGGAGGTGGGGGACTTTTCCCGATTGGGTGCCATGATTGTTGTTGTTGTTGCTGTTTGGTCTCTGTGGTTGTTGTTGTTGTTGTTGTTGTTGAATGTAGTTTACTATTATTACTGCTACCACTGTTACTTGACTTGCTTGGCTTGTTCAAGTCCTGGTCTTGAAGAAATGCATTCTGTACAGCATTTTCCACAAAAGATTTAAAACTATCCATAAATCCTGAAGCAGTTTGAGAGCCTGCCGCTAAAGAGGATGGAGATGACATAAATGATGACGTAGATAAAGTTGACGACGAAAATGACGAAGATGGAGATGAAATTGTGTTCATTGCTGATTTAGTTGTCATGGTGACATTGGAGAGAGCACTAGACACAGTTGTACATGTTGTACTACTCGTAGTTGTATATGGTGAGTGATTGGTCAATATCTGTGGAGTTGTCACTGGCACATTAAGTGCTGAATTGGCTACATTCTCTGCCTTCTGCCTTTTGCGTTGTGGTCCGTCTTTGATGACCTTGCGCTTTACTCCCTGTTGACCACCCGTAGAAGAACTACTGGACTGGGAGGTGGGTGTTGGAATGCTTGCTGATGAGTTACCTTTCTGTTGGTCACTGTGGGTTGATGGCATTGACTTGACAGTGCTTTGCGAGTAGATTGGGTTTGGCACCAGGCCTTGCTGAATGAGACTGTAACTATACGCGAGTGACCGGCCAGGGAGGGACACAGGTGGCTGTGCTATTGCTGCGGACATGTAATGACTGTTGCTACTGGGTGCTGATGATCCACCGGATGATGTCGACGACACTGCACCTTTGCCCCGATGATAATCGACCGGCTGACCTAACATGGCCGATGCGAGCTGCTGGTGGTTCAAGCCCTGGCTGAGTGGGCTATGAGAGTTGGATGTGATATGTTTATTTTCCACTTTGAGAGAACTGAGCGATACATGTGATCCCGAGGAAGACAGGTCCATGGACCCAGACAGGTCATGGTGATAAGAGCCTGCTGAGGGACTACTGCTAGCCAGAGCTGAGCGGGGCCTGTCATGATGGTGGCGATCTGGGGTGTGGGCTGGTTTAGGCTGGGGCCGCGGGGAGGTGGAGGGGGGCATGGGTATGGTACTGCTGTAGTGTGAATGGGCAGGGCGTGGGCTGGCAGACTTGCCACTGTCTTTACCCTTGTTCTCCACTATCACAGAGCTATGAGATTTGATGTCCTTTATCAGTGGTGGAGGTACACCGGTTTTGGGCCGCTTGGGTGATGTAGAGCAAGCAGACCCGTGTTTAGAGTCAATATTCATTTTCTCTTCACTTTGTTTCTCAGCAGCTGCCAAACCATGCAGATGAAGCTGTTCTGGTGAAATATAGGTATGTTGGAATGGTTGGTAGCCATACAAACTATAGTTGGGTTCCTGCTTCACTCCTGACCCTGAGCCAGATGAAATAGAAGAAACAGGGTAACCTTTGAACCCTTGAGCCTGTTGGTAATTGTGGGGTTTTGCGTCGCTGGAACGGCTTGAACTGACCTTCTCCAGTTTCTGGTCTGACTTTTGATGTTCTGCTGCAAGAGCCTTCTGACGTTCCTTCATGAACTCCTCTTGCTTGACAGCAGCAAAGAGCTCTTGCTGCCTCATGATCTCATGCCGTCGAAGCATCTCTGTGTTGAAGGAAAGGTGACGCATCTCCTCCCTCTCACGCTCCTAAAAATAAACACGACATTGCTCAGATCTTTAGCAAATACAACACAGGTCACTGCCAAGGTCACTTTTTAAGTAATCAAAAACCAGTTTGAAATGTTCTCAAAAAATGCTTTCTATTATAAATCTATATCTATGTCAGAAACCTGTCACAATATTCAATTCCTAACATGTGAACATGAACTTCCTTTTCCAAAACACAACCACTAATATTGTTGGGAATAAATCTATACCTGTTTGACTTTCTCTTCCATGCTCTTGATGATTTCTTGCTTGTCAGCCTTGTCGCCATGGCCATAATGATAAGAGGAGGGAGACTGTTGTTCAGACTTGGGAGGGCCGCTCTTGCCTGTGCCAAGGGTGATGGAGGGGGGTGCCCAGATCATGCCTGACTGTTGAGCCTAAAACACAATAGGGAATCAATAACACATGGCTGTACTCTCAGACACGAGTGTTGAGAACAATATACAGTCGAGTGAGCCCAAGTACAAGTCAACTTTCTGACAAGTATTTTAGACTCATTTGAGAATTGGCCATGCCATCAATGTATGGTACAGGTGGGCTTCACCACAAGCCAAATATCTGGCAAGGATATAAGCCACTTTTTTGTTAGTAATTATAACAGTGGTTAAGGTCTAACAGTCCATCCCTGCAGACCAAGCTGGAAGAACATGATTAATCTGAAAGGTACATCCAATTTGATCATACAAGGGAGGACTGTTTTAAACAATAAAGAACCAGGGTTAGAAACTGTAATTTAACATTGTGTTTTATTTACCCTTTGTTTAGCCAGCCTAAGGGACTGTTGGAAATGGTCGTCCACAGCAGCTAACGTATCTGCAGACTCTTTAAGAATTCTCTCCCTTTCCTGTCGCTGTTCGTGTTCATGTTCCCTACGTTTGCGTTCTAGCTCACGTTCTCGTTCACGTTCCAAATGCTCTTTCTCCATACGTTCTCGTTCAGCTCGTTCACGTTCAGCTCTTTCCCTTTCCATCTTTTCTCGTTCAATACGCTCCCTGAAAATACAAAATCCAGAAATAATTATCACTATTGAACCAACTTCAAACCCCTAACATTGGCTGCATACAACAGGAAGGATAGGACCAGAAAGCATTCAGTTGTGCAAGTTTAGTGTTGCTTAAGAATTAACCGACATATATTTTGACAAATACATCTGAAAGCATTTTAAATACAGAAAAAATATTGATTAACGACACAACAGTTCTTGCAATCAAGAACTGTGATTTGTTTGTGAGGAAGAATGATGGTATTATGAACTTATTTTTCATGCTTATTTAAATCATATGACTGCCTTATATATATTTTGGTTATTTTTTTCTTTCTTTTCATTGAAGTTCATATACTTACAATTACAACAATATAAATTTGTATGTGCCTTTTTTCTCTATTAAAAATTGAGTGTCAATACCCTCTGAGTTAGAGACAGGTTTTTTAACTTAAGGATAAAGAGAAAAAAAATACTGCTTAATCCCCAATCCTTTTATTGGGCTTGCCTGATTGAACTGATTTAAACCTATAGAAATATACCGTAAGTATAAGTGAAGAGGGTGGGACAGTGCCTCAATAGTGAGGTACTGGTCTGGTCATGTTCTACAGACACACACTACAGTCTAGGTATATCTGAATGATTGTAAGGGCTCTGTAACCAAACGTGTTGTGTCTACGTGCTTGGTGATCAAATAAGTTTGTCAAGGAGAGCCGTGAAGTTTTGTCGCGGATTCTGTCACTAAAGAAATCATGTCTAGGTTTACATACAGGTTTGTATGGGTTTTGTTACCAAACCATTGTGTTGAGGCATACCTTAATAAAGTTTTGCATGGGCATAGGTGTCAATCTCTGAAACCTCCAATGATGGAGATTTTCCTCATTCCACATTTCAAATGAGGGAGAAAGTGTGTGAAACTGCTTTGCTCAATTTATCTTTCACTTTTCATGTATCAAAATAACTCCCAAAAGCATTCATTTGATTCAGACACACCCGTTATGATCATTACACACACCCTGCATTAACTAGGAGATCATGATCACAGAATGTAGATTTTGAGTTTGTGTGAGCTTGGACTTGAATGAGGGAGTTTCGAGGGAGATTGATAATTTTGGTCCAAATGTTGGAAGCTTCCTCTTAATGAGGGAAGTTTGACAGCTATGTATGGGTTTCGTAACCAAACTATTATGTTTAGGCGTAACGAAAGCTTTGTATGGGTTTTCAGTAACAACCACTGATGAGGCATACCCTAAGTTTTGTATGGGTTCTGTAACCCTAAGTTTTGTATGGGTTCTGTAACCAAACTATTGGTTAGGCATATCCTAAGTTTTGTATGCGTTCTGTAACCAAACTATTGGTTAGGCATACCCGAAGTTTTGTCTGGGTTCTGTAACCAAACTTGGTTAGGCATACCCGAAGTTTTGTATGGGTTCTGTAACCAAACTATTGGTTAGGCATATCCTAAGTTTTGTATGGGTTCTGTAACCAAACTATTGGTTAGGCATACCCGAAGTTTTGTATGGGTTCTGTAACCCTAAGTTTTGTATGGGTTTTGTAACCAAACTATTGGTTAGGCATACCCTAAGTTTTGTATGGGTTCTGTAACCCTAAGTTTTGTATGGGTTCTGTAACCCTAAGTTTTGTATGGGTTCTGAAACTAAACTATTGGTTAGGCATACCCTAATTTTTGTATGGGTTCTGTAACCCTAAGTTTTGTATGGGTTTTGTACCAAACTATTGGTTAGGCATACCCTAAGTTTTGTATGGGTTCCGTAACTAAACTATTGGTTAGGCATACCCTAAGTTTTGTATGGGTTCTGTTACTAAACAAGTCTTGTCTATTTGAAATCAAACAGAGCTGTCTAGGTATAAAAGTTTAATCAAATCCTATATCCCCGCTAGAAAATGGCATTTAATTGACCTCAAACATTATTATAAAGTGTGTGTACATACAGATAAAGTAATCAATGCTGAGCTTTGCCAGGTTGTGTCTACCTCTGGGGATCCTAGCTCTATCAGGCTTACACTTTCACTGGGTACGGTCAATGATTGGGTCTAATGGGAACCTGTTAAAGCCTACCTAGCTATTCCATGCCCATCAATAATACACCATTCTGTAGATCTGGCCTAAATCCTACACAGGAAATTACTCTATTGTTAAATCAGATTTATGTTTTTGCTTTTATGTATATAACCGTAGTTTTTAGGAGTGATTATAGAAAAGTCATTGAAACAATACCATAGAACTATAGAGAGATTTCCCGAAGGGATAAATGATTACCTCGTACCTGAACGAAATACAGAACGCTAACCAATGTTCTATGACTGATCGATGTAAAGGGCCTTGAGGTCTAAATGACATTTTAATACGTGGACAATCTCCAATAAGTAAAGGTATGGAGCTGTAATGGCCAGCCAATTATGCCTGGCAAAGCACTGCTGACACCTCAACTATAATACACCCAATATAGCCTTTATCTCCACCTGATCAGGGGGACCTATTGACGTCATCGGCAGACAGATTACAATGAAAGCCGCTTAAACCTTGCTAATGCTACGTGTGAAGGTAGCTCTACCAATCACACACAAATATCACACTGTAATGCCAAAGTTGTATCGATACCAATGAATTATTTAGTCTCAACAATGACATTTCAACATTTCATGTATATACACACCTAGTGTTTCACAACAACTCTAAAACCAGTATCAATAAAGCAGCTTATACCTCATAAATAAATATTTGCAGTTTGATTCATAAATTGAATAAGCACTGGATAACCAATGGAAAATGCACATGACCAAATGTAAATTTATTGGACATGTCTAAATGTATAAAGCTAGAAACCAGGTCAATATATGATTATCAGTGTACTTCAGCCAACACCAGATAAGAATAAATCATTAATGCCAGCAGTGAGATTGAACATGTGACGTCCCACGACAACTGCTGCCCTGATCAATACCTTGGTTGTTATTTTCTTTGTCATGTTTGGAGAGAAAATTCCTTATGACACCTCGTCAATATTGTTATCAAAATGAAATCAATGGCTATGTCATTTCCCTAGGCTTATGTGGTTTAAACATGTTGTATTGATTTAGGGAGCCGTTGGTGCACATGACCTACAGGATACTACGTAATCCTGGGGAGTCGTCAGTCGACACAACACATACAGGACATTGTACTTAATCCTGGGGAGTCGTCAGTCTACACAACACATACAGGACATTGTATGTAATCCTGGGGAGTCGTCAGTCTACACATCACATACAGGACATTGTATGTAATCCTGGGGAGGCGTCAGTCTACACAACACATACAGGACATTGTACGTAATCCTGGGAAGTCGTCAGTCGACACAACACATACAGGACATAGTATGTAATCCTGGGGAATCGTCAGTCGACACAACACATACAGGACATTGTACGTAATCCTGGGGAGTCGTCAGTCGACACAACACATACAGGACATTGTACTTAATCCTGGGGAGTCGTCAGTCTACACAACACATACAGGACATAGTATGTAATCCTTGGGAGTCGTCAGTCTACACAACACATACAGGACATAATATGTAATCCTTGGGAGTCGTCAGTCTACACAACACATACAGGACATTGTATGTAATCCTAGGGAGTCGTTAGTCTACACAACACATACAGGACATTGTACGTAATCCTGGGGAGTCATCAGTCGACACACCACATACAGGACATTGTATGTAATCCTGGGGAATCGTCAGTCTACACAACACATACAGGACATTGTACGTAATCCTGGGGAGTCGTCAGTCTACCCAACACATACAGGACATAGTATGTAATCCTTTGGAGTCGTCAGTCTACACAACACATACAGGACATTGTATGTAATCCTTGGGAGTCATCAGTCTACACAACACATACAGGCGATTGTACATAATCCTGGGGAGTCGTCAGTCTACACAACACATACAGGACATTGTATGTAATCCGGGGGAGTCGTCAGTCTACACAACACATACAGGACAGTGTATGTAATCCTTGGGAGTCATCAGTCTACACAACACCTACAGGCGATCGTACATAATCCTGGGGAGTCGTCAGTCTACCCAACACATACAGGACATTGTACGTAATCCTGGGGAGTCGACAGTCTACACAATACATACAGGACATTGTATGTAATCCTGGGGAGTCGTCAGTCTACACAACACATACAGGCGATTGTACGTAATCCTGGGGAGTCGTCAGTCTACACAACACATACAGGCGATTGTACGTAATCCTGGGGAGTCGTCAGTCTACACAACACATACAGGACATAATATGTAATCCTTGGGAGTCGTCAGTCTACACAACACAAACAGGACATTGTACGTAATCCTGGGGAGTCGTCATTCTACACAACACATACAGGACATTGTATGTAATCCGGGGGAGTCGTCAGTCTACACAACACATACAGGACATAATATGTAATCCTTGGGAGTCGTCAGTCTACACAACACAAACAGGACATTGTACGTAATCCTGGGGAGTCGTCAGTCTATACAACACATACAGGACATTGTATGTAATCCTGGGGAGTCGCCAGTCTATACAACACATACAGGACATTGTACGTAATCCTGGGGAGTCATCAGTCGACACACCACATACAGGACATTGTATGTAATCCTGGGGAATCGTCAGTCTACACAACACATACAGGACATAATATGTAATCCTTGGGAGTCGTCAGTCTACACAACACAAACAGGACATTGTATGTAATCCTGGGGAGTCGTCAGTCTACCCAACACATACAGGACATTGTACGTAATCCTGGGGAGTCGTCAGTCTACACAACACATACAGACGATTGTACATAATCCTGGGGAGTCGTCAGTCTACACAACACATACAGGACATTGTATGTAATCCTGGGAAGTGGGTGTACAAAACAACATACATAACCAAGAATTATGGAAAATATTATCCTTCATTTCTTAGGCCTGTTTTTCTAAGGAGATATTAACAATAAAGTCATATAAAAAAAATAGGCAGAAGAATATGAATTACTTCTATTATTAAAAATGATCAGCTCTATATTCATGTATCAACGGAGAACATTTTATATAGTATTTTGATATCTTAGATGATTACGAATGGAAAATCAATTCTATATAGCTACATGTGTTTTTGTTATAACTGGTTACGGTATCAGCTGTAACCCACTACACTACATATAAATTAGGTCTTGGTAATGACCACTAAACGTGTACATTACTTTGTCTTTAGACCTTGACATAACCTTCTCAAGAGAATTGAAGAGAAGCACGATATTACACTATGGTGAGCTATGAGTATTGTTCTGGGTGTAAAAGTGTCACATACAACAGGGGACATGTGAACATGTGTTGTTTGCTCTGGACAACGATCATTAGTTATGAGTGATCACTGACCACAGTTTAACCAGTTGTGACTGACCACAGCTTGACCGACACCAGCTGTTACATGCTTCATTGTAATGCTAATAAACATCGGCTAGAGACATGGGTTTGCAAACCCATTCTTGATGGCCATGACTACATCTCCATATATAGACTGCAAATTACCAATATGACAGCATGTCTAAATATACCAATATACACCCAGAATAAATATTAACATTGGTCTAGGTGGTACCTCTGTACATACGAGACACAAGCTTATACCCATACAGTACAAATGTCGATAAGTAAACTTTATCCTTATATTAACCTTCAAAGTCTATTACTTTATCCCAGTATCATTAGAATACACTGATATACTTACAACAGGCAAGTACAGGCCTAAGAAGCTTACCATTAACTAAGAGCATTAGGGATTAAAACCAAATCGACAGAATGGATCCTTAAATAATGCTGTGAATCAGTTAAGACCACACACAGTAAATACTTAAGTTTACAACAAAAGATTTCATAATAAGGTTCTTCCCATCAATTTAAAGAAATAATAGAATCTTCCTTCTTTCTGGTTGGATTTTGTTTATGGTCTATTGGCAATCAAATCTATTTTAATTGCCAGGTGAATTGTTAGCTCTGTAGGCCTCTTTTCCTTCCTAGGTGGATGTCAAAGTGTGTTTCACATACAGACCAGATTCTAACAATTTTCAGTTGTCCGATTTAGCATCTTCTTGGTATGCGAGACAAAACAAGGACATCTGATATTCACATCAGTCACGTGTTTGCTTAGTACAAGCCTATAAGTGTGAATGTCAAGGCTTAATGGTGACAAACAAACATATTGCAGGATAAGACAGGTGCTGAAAGAGCAGACTAGCTGTTCCAGTAATTGCATTAGTCAATATAAAAGCTGTTGTATCATCAAACACTCTTTTCTCACATTTCTTAACACTTCTCACCGTATGTTGCATACATCAAAATATAAATACGGTCAATTAACCGCTTTCAGTTCAAAATCAACCTATCCGGACAATATGCAAGTGAAGTTTGCATTAGTCCAGTCGGCATGAACTTGGGTAAGGAATTATTTCTCTTACAGCAAACAAAATGAGGACAAATATTTTTACCTTTCAATGCGTTCCCTTTCCTGTCGCTCCCTTTCTATCTGACGATCCCTCTCAATTTTTTCTCTTTCCAGACGATCCATACGTTCTCTCTCCAGACGTTCCCGCTCAATGCGGTCACGTTCATAGCGTTCCAACTCGCGCTCCTTCATGCTGAAGATATCACGAAGAAGGTCCTCCTGTTTGCTGGCCAGCATCCACTGAGGAGGGACAGGCACCGAAGGGTACTTCTGCTGCCACAGAAGTTCTAACTGTGCCATTGTCAGATTTGCTGGAGGAGGGTATCCAGCTGAACGCTGAAGCAGCAGTGAGTTGGAATACTGCAGCGCAAGCTGCTGCTGCTGAATGGCTGCCAAAGTGGCATGGTCAAGCTGTCCCAGACCCGGTGACAGGCCTAGCTGGGCAGCCGCAGCCGCACCCATGGGATGGTAGGACATGGAAGGGAGCACATGGGTGCGAGGAAGGGGATGGGTGGGGAATGATGTTGTGGTTGGCAGACTCCCTGATGGGGGAGCTGAAGGGATGGGGTTATGTACACCTGGGTATGTTGAAGACTTGTGAGGGGGTCCCAACATGCTTTGCACATTGCTCTGAACTGGATTTTTCCTCATTAATTCGGGATCCCTGTAGGGTAGAACAGGCTCTGTTCTGTCTATAATAAGAGGACTAGATGCAGGACTGTTTTTACTGGATGTTCTCAGATCATCGAGTCGTGAGGAAGGTCGACGATCATCACCATAACCTGAATAACTAGAATGTTCACTGGTCCGGGAACTGGACCGATCATTGGGTATTTGAGTGGAATTTCCGTAGTTGAATAAAGTGTTTTCCTTGACAGGAACGCTATCGGACCTTGTGTCCTTCACCAGCACTACAGTATCTGAGGACTCACTATGAGGGGACACAGATTTGGTTTGGTTGATTGAGCTGCCAGTGTCTTCCCCATGGAGTGCTAGCTTTTCTGTCCTGGCTAGTTTGGTGATCTGATCTGTCAGTGATCTGTTGACGTCGATGCCAGCCAGAGAATTGGAAGGTGGATTACTACTACTTTCAGAAGAATTGTTACCTGCTAACAACCTCCGTTTCATAAAGTGCATATTATCGTCTGTGTCGGTTGACAGTGTTTCCACAGTTAGGTGCGAACTGTCGTCAGCGACAGCTTCACTTTCACTACCTGTACATTCCCTAGTCACCTCTGTATCACACGGCACCACCACACTATCTGACACAGCACTATGTGTTAATACATCCTTACTACCTGAAGCACTAGATTCTGTTCCTGTATCATCATCCTTGTTAACAGTTGGTTCGGTTACAGGAGATAAATCAGAGTCTGTTGCGCTCTTTACCACCGATGTTTCTGAATCACATTTAGAAGTTTCTACGTTGTCACTAGCCTTTTTAACATCACAATGTTGCTGATCCACATTCCACCTTTTACTTACAGCTGCCGGTGAGGTCAGACCACTTTTCCCTGTAACTTTGGATTTGCGCGACTCCCTTTCACTTGCTTTCCTAGTTAATTCAGTTTTTACAGGAGAGGGAGATATTTGTCTGCGTTCCTTGGAATTAACTGATCTCGGAGTAGTCCTAGGTTCACTTCTGTTTCGTAATTTTTTAGTGTTTTCCGTCTGCCGTTTCCTTGAAACCACAGAACTTTTGTCCAGAGACAGATTAGTATCACACTTTTTTAATTGTAATGTTGGTTTTCTGTCAAAGGACTTTGGCCTTTTGTTACCTGTAGGAGCTGAAGACACCGGAGGAGTAGTATCCTGATTGCCTGTACTTCTCCGACCATCAGATGACCGTGCCCTTTTCAAAGGACTTAAAGTTTTCTCCTTTTTCTCCTCTGAAGTTAAGCCTTGTTTGTTTGTATCCTTTGGTTTTGAGCGTTTGCCTGTAGATGGTGCGGTTGGCTGTACTGGAGTTGAAGGTCTCCAATCACTTTCCTCATCAGTTTTGCGTTTGCGTTCACGCGTTGGTTTGGTACGAACATTGGTTTTATCTACAAGAAACAACAGGAAACATTAGGTCACTGGAAAATCAGTAATTGTTACACTTCTACACTCTGTATATCTCTGACCAAATTGATTTGTTGTCTACCTGGATATCTGGACTGTGTATAACATATTAATCCGGAGATTATGTTGTACTCGGGCTCTAGCTCAACTAACAAGACCATGTATTGATGTCAATAATAAAATACCAGAATTAATGTATTACATATACCCAAAAGGGAAATTAATCAACTCTGACAGACGTAAACATGAACATACACAGTAGGGTATTAAAATAAATAATCCTCTGTTCCATTATATGGACACAATGCTCACCGACTTGTACCCCCCACTCCCCTGGGACTACTTGGGTAAATGCTATGATCCCCTGTGGGTGTAGCCTAGAGTGGGGATGAGGTCATGTTGAACCAGCTACCCAGCACAGCTAGGCTACACACATCGATACAATAGACCCGATACAATAGACCCGGCCACAGTACAAACTACACACTTTATCTAGGCTCTCGATCTTTGGAGAATTACTGAACTGAATATAACAACACATCAACAATAATGGTGCCTCGCATGACTGGGCGCAGCACAGAGCCAATCCCTGGTGATATATCACTGACCTCTGGTACACACACGATTGTAACAATAATAAAAGGTCTGTGCTTGCACTTCTCCACAAGCGAGTGAACCTGATCCGATTTGTTTGTTAAATGTTATTGTCTGCGCCCACTCTGATCCACCACAGTCGTGTCGTGTGATGTCATAGTTTGTATCTGCTACTTAAAAACCACACTAAAAGAAATTCTATATCTTAAGCTTGTACATTTTTTTTAACGATTAAAGCAGAGCTACCCTTGTTTTTATTTATGTTTTCTTTCCAGCAGAAACCAGACTTGCCAGGGCAGGATGACTAACATATGGGTCTGGAAATACACATGACTGTACTACAATGTAAATTCTCCACCGCCTCAAGTATGTTACCACACAGTACAGAGGGCACATGTATGTCTGATCACATGATCGCCTTCCTCGCTTATCTTATTTGTACAAGCTCTTCCAGGGGCACATAAACTTGTGGTATAGTAGGATCAAGTATTTGGCCTATTTTCAATATTGTTATCAGTTTCTATATGCCGCCTTAGTGTACTGCATGCTATACAGTTATATACCCAGGTCAGGTTGTAGATATGGCCCCGAGACACAAGAGAACATTATTGCACAACACAACACCCCTCATTATACTCCTTTATGTAAAACACAGCTATTAATGTGAACATATTTAAATCAAGCACGACTTCAGACTACATTTCCATACAATTTATAATTAGATTCCCATTGATATCTGACAAAGATCCATCAAACACTACAAAAGATTGCTCTGTAATATACAAAACAGTGATCTGTTGGTGCATTTACATCATTCATTAGTTTTAGGATCAATTGTATATCTTTCAAATAAGAATATATCAGAAGACCGATCTTTAGGATTTTATTTATTTATTCAGAGAACCAGACATAAAGAGAAGAAGACTATAAAAATAGCCTGAATAGCTGTTACAAACAATAAATTAACGCAGAAGAACAATACAGCCATTTTTTCTTCGTGAAGGCATTACAATATCCACACCTGCCAAAGTACAATGGAGCAGGCTGTGCTAATCAAGTCTTTGTTTGACTGCGACTAACAAGCAGGGGGTCGACACCGTTCTAGAGTTCACCTGTCACCAAAGCCTAGCTCAGCAAGAGTGGACTATCGTGTTAGCATTACTGCACATACAAGCCACTTATCAGGTCTGATAATATATATTCAGAACAAACATGTGAAATATAAAATTGCATTTTAATTGGTTGGTGTCAGTTTTATTCTATCAATATCTCTGTTCAATATAGAATGCCCTGAATTTATCAATATTATTTGACACTTCAGAAAATGTGACAAACAATAATTACATAACATCAATACAAACCTTTGCATGAGAACATTTAAGTATAGACTTGGCCTCCATGGATGTGAGTATGACTGAGCTAACACCAGTATGTTAGTGTACAATCCTTCCTCTGAACAGGAACATGAAACCCTCTGTATCGCATCAGGCTGTGATCTAGCACATTGTCAGATGTCAAAACCGCCCCATTAAAACGTCAGCCTGTGATATAACTGTTTTGCGTGATGCGAATCCCCTGTGCATACAATTAACCCATAGATTCTCACCAACGCTAGACAAAGGACTGCCTTGATTGAAAATAAATTATTCCTCAAAAACAATAAAAATTTAATGGCCCCATCTGTAATTGATAGTAAGTTGAATGTGTAGTCAATACAGAAATCTGCTAGAGACACCAGTATTAGGTATATCTAAATGCTAGTGTACAGGAGATATCACTAGACAAGCTATTATGTAACAGCCACATGTATTCTCAGGTTTGGGGAAACGTTTCATCCTTTGTGAGAATTGACCTACAATATTTCTGTAAACTTTCATTTTTTTTTTTTAAATTGATTTAATTGATATCCTATAAATACATTATCACGATTAAAAAGTTAGAAAGTAGAAGCAAAAATTAAATTGAACAGAGTCAGGATGAGACAGACGTAGATTTAATTGTACCAGTCAGCCAACCAGCCAGCCAGCATGGTCATATACACAAGCATGCTACACGGCCATATTGGATAGTGTAAGCAGCGTTATAGTGAAGGCAGATATACGGGAATAGCATATGTTTACATGTATGATTTTTTTCCCTTAGGCTTGTCTGTCATTGACCACATAAAACATTCTTAATATTGAAATGCCTTAACAAACATAAACTTTCTTCACCATCCATCAACATTTCTGAACTGTTATGTGGAGTAGGAGGGACGTGCTATGTACGGACCCTAACATACCTATTTCCATTTCTCTAACACATAAAAGTATACAGAACAGACCTGGAGTTTCGGTGTAAACTTCTCAGACATGTTAATAATGAATGATCTACCTGACTAACTAGGGTGAAAACCCTCCCAGACAAAGGGGTGGTAATATCGACCCAAGTCTACTGAGCCTGCTTTGTTCAGCGATTTCCCATTAAACATTCATGTACCATTGATTGTACTGGTGTAATCGAGGAAAAAACACTCACAAGGTTTCATCAAATATGTACCAGCTTAATTTGATATCAAGATTTCTCATAGGCAAAACATGTGGTAACGCGATCTGGCACACATGACCTAAATTTCCTTATACAAAACACGACATATTTCATGATTTAACACAAAAGAAACATAATTCTTACCTTTTTCAGAATCTGGTGTGGTAGTGTTATTTCCAGAAGTATTTCCTTGCTGGCTTTGAGAAGAATTTTGTGGTGTAAGTAGTCGAGTTTTACTCGTCCGAGAGGGAGTCTTATTTGTCGAATTGCCTGTCTGTTCAGTTGATTTAGGTGTACCCCGTGGAAATGTGTTCTGTAAAGCACAAACAAGAATTTGGTTATTGTATAGGTCTCAGTAATCACAGATCTCCAAAGTCCGCAATTAAAGCACACAGCCGAGTAAACGTGGTCCGGTGAATATGGTGGACGGACTGGTGTGTGATTCATACACACACAACAACAGCCATGCCAGCTAACAGAAAACGGGTGTACTTGTGGCTGTACCTTGTCTGTACTCCAGGTCACTATGCTGGTACTACCAAACTCTGCCTACTGGGTGTGACTGTGTGGTTAGCCATGCCCTGTCAAATTGGTGGCACGGTGGGTGTATGACCTATCTACTCTGGCCCTGAGCGCCTTGGTTGAGTCAACAGTTTGTATGCTTGCCTGCTGTATGCTGTGACCTTCACAGTGAGGTTTGGCGGGCTATAACACCAAGGCCTCTATCACACTAACTGCACCACCAAAGGCCTGGGTTACAGTAAGTAGTGGAGGAGCTGGCCAGTCAAGTGGCCATATACACACAGCTGGGAACATAGTACACAGATACTTTCCTGTTATAATTGAACTATTTACCTGTGTAACTGTTCATGTATACATACAAGTCAGCTATTTGGCGCAGAGCCAGAATTACACACAATATCAATCATCTCTGGCAGTTGCACAGGCATAGAAGGCTAAAACAGGCATTTATACAGACAGATAGCAGGAAGGCTGGGAAGCTACTCTCCATAGATTAGGGATCAGTTATTACAGTGATGAATGACACAGTCCCCAGTACAGGCATGTCATCAATGGCTCATACACACCAATAATGATGGGCAGATGGTAACAGTGGAAAAACAATCACTCTCTTTCACAGACACAGTGTGACAAAGGCTAATAGAGGCCAACAGAATTAAAATCAATAGATATACAGGGTAGATACACTGAGAGAAAAAGAAAAAAAAATGAAAAAAAATCTAAAAAGGAAACAAGAGTCATAAGTTCAGTACATATTTTTACATTAAAAAAGATTCCTTTATTGTAATGCCAACACAGAAATTAAATTAGTTCAAGTTTTGTTTGTGTTTAAGTTAAAAAACATTTTATATCTAGTAATATACATTATACAAATTTACCATTTCAAATCCTTTTATCTAAATAGATTTGTGTGTGTGTCTGGGTAAAACTATTATAAAGTGATATATTCATGATATAAAAAGTTAGCTATAGTTGATAAGAGATAGGTTTGATGGTCACAATGGCTACCCAACTGTATAGCTTTCCTGTGCGTGACCTCATATCTCCTACCTACCTTTACAAGGAGTGTACATATATCCTGAAGTTAACAACACACTTTTTGTTGCCAGTTTTAAGTAACTAGTAAACATCCACGGAATAAATTCTGGTGAAGATTTAACAATTTTTATAGTTCCGACATGAAGCTTGAGTGCGAGGAGGGCACACAACTGTAACACAAGTGTGAAGAGGAATGGCCGCCAATACAGACCTCCAGTCCTCAGAACAGCTTGCCCGTAATCTCCAGTATTCAGCGCTCCAGAGGTTTTATCATGCTAATGTTGCCTGCCTAGAGCAAGTTTTACAAACAGCCCAAGTCAACAATTACTCTGTTGATTATCATGGTCAGGGGGCGTCTTGCAATACTCTACTGATTACCACTAATAGGGGTCGTCTCACAAGGTACTTTTGACTTTATGTGACTTGGGGGCCTTCTAATTTATTTATCTAATCAAGAATGTGTTACATATCAAATGCCCCTGGTACTTGATAATCCCTCTAGAGTACTTGAGCCTATAAATCCAGGTCATGAAAGTCATCCATGTATTAACATGTCCAGCCAAATCTGGTGTATAGTCACAAGGTTCCACGGGTGATATTCAGACAATGATAAATCCATTAAAAGGAATAAATCAGGTTAATGTGAATGGATAAAGGCTATTCTAACTGTATATATATATATATCTAATGTGAATGGATAAAGGCTGGCCTACCTATATATTATATACAGATCTATTTTACCTTCCTACGGGCCGATTTGTACAAATGGGCATGGAACAAACTATGTCAAGGTCATCCTGTCTGTATCATTAAGCAGATTCAAACTTGCTATCTCACAATCGAGTACTGGATCAATCAATCACCCTTGGGTATGTTTTATTGTCATATTAAGTGTTATCGCATTGTGCTATAGCATGCAGGCAGCTCCTTCCCTCACCCATACACCTGTTTTATTGTAGAAATGGAGATAAAATACTGTCAATGTTGGAGATTAATTAAGTTTGATGGGAATATGCATGTTGGCTGCCACTAGCCTATATGTCTGAGTAAAAAACAAGGTTAAGAATCCCTGTTGAGTTTGTATTACCATCAATCCTGACAGTAACAGCAGGCCAAGAGGTGATCAATACTCTGTCTGCCTGATTCCCTACATAGTTTTATTATTCATCTGTGAAAAAGAGCGAAATATATTGACTCACGTTGGCACAGCAATCACTGTGTTGTATTTACTATGATCGCTGATCGATCAGGCCATATCCCTCAAGTCTGACTATCTACGTTGGTAATATTGTAATGGCTTCAGTGCTGCTGTGGTATCGGGATTGTCCCCCTCACTTTGTCTGTCAATATAGTTACTTCAGTCTCCGAGTATCATCTGTCAGCTTTCTCTCTCATCAATACACTCATGTTTGGTTTGATTGCTTTCTGAACGATGCAAACTTTTAAAGTATTCTTTACAAGTTGAGTAACGATAGATTTTCTGCCAGCACTCTTTTGTCATGACTAAAAGCGCAGGTGACAATGTATGCAAATTGCGTGCGATTATATACACGGACCAGCATAATTAGCCTTACATGACCAGGCGCTAAATGCTATATAAAAATGCCTCTTCCATGCTGACCTTCATTGTTAACCATCACCAAAGACATACATCTCACCAGCAGACAGGCAGAATTACCATCACAATCCAACCACCCTCCACTTGGATATCACCTCTGTTTATATGCATAAGACTGCCATAGAAAATTTACATAATTTTCTTTTCCAGGCCATGGAATCCTACTCAAGGAAATTAAGTTTAATTCTGAGAGATTCGTTTGATGGCAAGTGAATCAGATTTTTTATAACGACAACTAACACAAATCTATTTGCATTTCAAATTTTGAATTATGCAGATAGGCAGCATATATTGTAACATGTACTTTACCCTCACCAATAATTACTCGACTGCGGTTGCCAAGTGAACTTTACCTCTCAGTCACCTATTTGTTTACCAGGTGATAAACAATACGTTAGTTCATCACATCCTGTAGGCTTTGTGTACTTTTGAAGTTATAAACTTCAGCAAACAATTATTACCTAGAAGTGTTAATTAAGCTCATGCCAAACTACCTTTCGATTCTTAGACCAGCAATATTCACTCTCTCGACAAATCACTTTTGATCAGAAAAGGAAAAATCTCTTACTATCATGTATGTACTTGTTGATTATATAGCTTAGTTACTAATTCCAGCGACCTTCACCCTCAGAGTCAAGCCTGACAAAGAGACGGACGCCCCAGAGACATCATTATATTTTTCCTTCTTTACAAGCCTAATGGTGAATTAAATCTTCTGACTCAGAAAATAAAAAAAATAATGCATCATGATCAATACAAATGGTGTTTGTAAATGAATGAAAAAATAGATCACCAGTGTGCATGTGTTAGTTAAATATCCGTGTTTGCATTATAACTACTTTTATTTTTTTATACTTTTCAATCCGTAATTGATTTGCCAATTGAGTAACAAACTGGAATTACATCACGAGAAGATGGCATTGTGAGTTTGATGGAGTGTTCGATCAATACTCCCTGCATTCTTCCCTCCCAAGCCAATACATCACAAGATACCCCCACCAGCCAACCACCGCACTTCACAAGTCATCTTAATGAGGTTTTTCTCTCTCTTGATCATGCCAACTTGAAGAAAATGGGTTTTGAAAATGCATTTGCTAATCAATGTGTTGTATGAGCAAATAAAAGCTTGCCAATCTGCATTCAAACATCTAAGGATGCAGGACGCCACAAACAAGTTTATTGAGAAACCTGATCAATCTGGGGCAGCTACAAAATGAACCACAAGGCTATCTTCTAACATATCTGGCCAAGTGCACTGCCTTGTTTATATTTTGAGTGTAGAAAAGGATTTATGGTTATATAACTGACTGTATATGGGAAAAACCACAGGTGACCCTACATAGCTGTGAGGTATTAGTAAGTATGTGTACTGGTGTGGCCTAATCGATCAGCCATCACACTGGTGTGACAGACCCATACCTATTACAACCACAGGCACTATACTCCTGTCTACAGGGACACATCATCACAGACAGGATACATGTCAGGAAATAAATAGTATTCAGACTTAACACACATCAACAGGAAATATAGCACACATTGTACTATGTATATCAAGTGCATGTTGTTGAGCCAGACCATCCAGGAAGACCATGATATGGAGAAATCAACAGGAAGAGAGTGTATTTGTATGTACTGATGATAGTATCTGACTTATTTTTATGTATAGATAGTATCAGACTTATTTTTATGTATAGATAGTATCGGACTTATTTTTATGTACTGATGATAGTATTTGACTTAGATTGTCCACCAGTTACTGGCAGTCTACATCAACTTATCTCCCAACTTGTGTATACCACACATTTATTACTGAAGCTGGAGTTTGTGAGTCTGTAAGTCATTTGGGTGACAACCAACACTGGCTTGTAGTCAATGGTATGTATTGTGGAATGCAAACAAGATGTATCCCCTCTTAACTGCCAGCCACCCCATCAAAGACAAATTACATTTTTCCTCACAAAATTTGGACTTGGCTTCAGATGTTCCTGACAGACATTCATCCCACAAATGGTGCAGTAATGAGTGCCTTTTCTCCACTGGAGTACTATACTATGTGTACAACAGGGCAGGTTATGTTTGTCCTCCTTACAAGACACAGTAGTTCTGTGAAGATTCCCAGCCCTGGAGTATCT